TTCACCTACTTGCCGCCCATGGGCCGCCTGTATTTTGCCGCCCCCTTCTCATTCGTTTTGAAACTCGATAAAAACCATCAAATGAACGTGTCAGCGAGGGAGGGGTGCATAAGACGCATTTACTCGTGTTGAACACATTTTTTGGGAAAGCCCTGTCAACACTACTAGCAAAAGTTCACGGAACTTTGTGCGAAAGTTAAGTTCCGTAAACCTATCTCTGTGTGGACAAGGCCTTCCATTCATAAGAAATGAACGAAAAAATTATGAAAGAACAAACATAAATATGGATCAATGATTTTAACTTCCGCCGCCGCGCCGCGCAGACCGCACCGTGTTTGGCGCAATGCGTGAAGTATTCCGACAGTCTTGTAGGCGCTATGCGTCTCACGCCGACCGCTGCTGAACGCACTGTGTTGGACGCAATGCGTGAAGTATTCATGCATTCTTGTAGGCGCTATCCGTTTCACGCTGACCGCAATGACCGCACTGTGTTTGATGCAATGCGTAAAGTATTCGTGCAGTCTTGTAGGCGCTAATGTGTTACATGCCGATCGCCGCGCTGAGGGCTTCTCCTTTTCAACTCAAGTCCTCGTTATCAGATCTCTCTAAGTCGCGCTGTTCCAGGCCAAATTGCGTGTTTCGTCTCTCTCTTAACTCGACTTATTGAAGGTGCTGTCTCTTATTACTAAGAGGCGACAAAATTAGAAATTACTATACTCTCAGGAAATGAGAGATTTTGTGGCCTTTTCTCGTTTGTAATTTTGTTTTTATAAATCCGATTTTTTTTTATACCTACACTTTAAAACATTGTAAATTTTTCCCGCCCTTTAGATTTGCTGCCATGGACCGCGGCCGGCCCATGTGGCCACCCCCTTAATCCGGCCCTGCTACCACGACCACTACTTTCCTTCTTGTTTCTCTTTTCTCCTTCATTTCTTCTTTCTCATAACTTCTTCCCGCTCTTCTCTTCTTCTCCTTCCTCTTTTTTCTTCTCCTTCCTCTTTTCTTCTTCCTCCACATCTCTTCTCCTCGTCTTTTTCTATCTTCTTCCTTCTCCCTTTCTTTCTAATTTTTTCATAATTTTCATACATTCTTTCTTTTTCCTATTTCCTCCATCTACCGGTTCTTCTTTCTTTTTTTCTTTCTCTTTTATTTTCCTCTCTCTTTTCTATCTTGTCTTACCCTTTCCTTTTTCTTTCTTGTTTGATTTCTCCTACCGCTCTCGTCTATTGCTTCATTTTTCCTCCTTATTCTTCCTTCTCTACTCTTCCTTTTCTTGAACTACCTCTTTTTCATTTTCTTTTCATCCTCGTTTTCTTGGACGGGAAATAAAACAAAGAAGTAAAAGCTGCTGGTAAAAAACAGCGTAACCATTGAAAACTTTGATAAGTTGACGCAGTTTTAACTAAAATCATCCTGTCTAAAACAACCTCACTGACAGGGATCGTCTTACTTTTTCACGAGACATGATATCACTATTCCACCAAATGGGAGCTTGTGTTGCCTACACTGAAAATGGAAGGCGAACTGATATGGCGTTGAAGTAACCTCTTCCGGAACAGTTAAAAGAAATGTTCAGAGTGGGTTTCGAGTAAGCGTACTCATTTCACGAAGATAACACTATTCAATCACGAGGAGAGAGCTCGTGTTGGCTACACTGAATTGATGTGGCGTTAATGTAATCGTTTCCTGTTTGGTGATAAGCGTGTCTGTACGAGTATTCCGAGTAAAGCGAGCAACATCACAATTATACCACGATTACCATTTTTTTCTCATTTCTTAATTCTTTTTTCTGCGTCCTCTTTTTCTTATCTCCTTCTTCATTTTCATTCCTGTTTTTTTCTTGTTCTTCCTCTTTGCCTCATCTTCCTTCTCCTCTCTATTTTCTTCTTCTTCTTCTCCTTCTGTCTCTTCAGTTTTAATTATTGACCAAGAATTTTTCTCGAAACTTAGTTGTGAATTTTTTCATTTACGTAATCTTTAAGATTCACAGAGAATTTTCCGGAAATATTCTGGATAAATTTCTTTTAAAAAATAAAGCACAATCGGAGGTTGCGCAACGTTGCAATGATACACGCATTCATCAACTTTTCCAGCAAACGCCTTCACGTAAAGTCCTGCATGGGGGAGGGTTTTTCCTTCGCGTATCAACATTTCAATCCCTGTTGTACAATTAATAGAGTGGAAGGTTAAGGGAGCTGAAAAATTGTGTAGTCTACTTAATATTTGAATGGCCCCTTTCTTCTCCGCGTAAATACAGAATATAAGCGGTATTGTGTAGGAGCTTCAATAGGTAAGCCACGACCTGCCAGCTATTTATAAGTAGCCCGCAATTATCTGAATAATTTCGCGCAAATTCGTACGTTTGACCTCAAATGAAACGAGGAAACGCGGTTGACAATGCACGGTAGTCCCAATTCGCTTAGGACCGCTCGAAAATCGATTTTACGGAAGTTGAGTCACTATCGAAAAGAGGAGGAAAAAGCGCTGTGAAAGCGGCTTTATGTGTGTAGAGTGACCTTAAACTCACGTCAAAAATGTATTTTGTACCTTATGCTCAGTCTAACTACCAAGAGCAGGAATCGCTGTTTAACCCTTGGATGCCCAAGCCGGGTCAAGTTGACCTGTGCCTTGCTAAACACACATGCTCCTGCTCCGCTCAGCGGGTTGTATGGTGGTCCACTGATAAAACCTAAGATAAGAATTACTTGCATCAAATTGAAAAAGAAATCGAATGTCAATGCAGCCAAAGATAAGAGAGACGTATATTCGGGCCTCATTTTTAACTATTTTGTCCGCGAAGCTTACAGCGGAGCATTGTGACTTTTGAGTTCACGCCTCGCGTTATCGCGCCTTCAATTTTGCAGATGCAACGTGGACATCCATCCAGCACGAATAGTTGTATCTCTGCGCCGTCATCAACACGCGTCCTTTCTTTTTCTCCAGCTCCATTTCTGTGTTGTATCCCAAGAAGAAAAAAAACATGCGTTCGTCTTATTTGAGGTGGTAGTGTGGTACTTGGAGCAAACATAACCGAATATAAAAAAGACGCAAGTGGGCCTCGTTTTCTTAACTTTTCTCCCGAATCTCAGCCTCAGCATCACCTCATTAGTGGTATAGAGTAGAGCAGTGCGAGTTCATGTCTCGCGCCTTCAATGGAGATGTTGCATGTGTGAGGAATTTGCGATTTGACTACTGATTCTTATGTGAAAGTTCGCGAGAAACACGATGGTGCCGCTGGTTTCCTCTGATATCAACTCCCAAGCTCAAAAAAAGCTCTCAAGTTGAGGCCAAAATGGAGGGGATATCTCACACTATCCTGAGAGTCCACCTCTACATCAAGACAAACTCTCCATGCAAAGATAGGGAGCAAATACATTGACAGGGCTGCCACTTTATTTGGGGACTCTAAAACTGAGAACACGGCAACCCTGCTAATGTATTTGCTCCCTATCTTTGCATGGAGAGTTTGTCTTGATGTAGAGGAAGACTCTCAGGATAGCATGGGATATCGCATCTCCTCCGTTTTGGCCTCAACTTGAAAGCTTTTTTTGAGCTTTGGAGTTAATTTCAGAGAAAACCAGTGGCACCATCGTGTTTCTCGCGAACTTTTACGTAAAAATCCGTTGTCAAATCGCAAGATCCTCACACATGCATCATCTCCATTCTGCAGATGCAACACGGACATCCATCAAGCACGAATAGTTGTATCTCTGCGCCGTCAACGCGCATTGAAGTGTCTTTAATTTTTGCAATTTGAGAAAGGTTAAAATCAAGTTTGCTCAAAATATGCTGTGATCGTCCAAATCAATAATCAATTTTTCTTTAAAAAAAAAAAAAAATTAGTCTAGAGGTTTCTCAAGCGCCTCCAAGGACATACGCCTAAAAATTGGTATTTTGGCGAGAGCTCTGTCCTTCCGAGGAATTTTTTTCAACGACTACCCCTAAAAATCCCAAACCGGGGTCAAATTGACCCGAATATCTTTTCTTCCGGAGTTACATACTGTGGACGAAAAGAGGGCGGCGAGAAAGCGGCAGTATGTTATTAAAAAGGTGAACATTTCGCTACACACTGAGGTAGACATTGCTTAAATCTTCGAACATTCAGAGGATTTCAGTCAGAAATGTTACAGTCAAAATGCCCTGTTAATACTTTTTTTCCTTTAAAGAACCCATCCTCGAACCAGAAAACTATGTGAGTACCTACAGCACTCCATCAAATTTGATTTAACAATCCGTTCGAGAATAGAACTTTGAGCATGTCAGGGTGTCTAGTTTTCTTTCATTTTGGGAAATCCTGATTTTTGACTGCTAAATCAGAATTTTCCAAATCCTGATTTTTTGCAGAGAAAAATTAAAACTGCATAAGCAAATACAAAAGCATAAAAAAATCCGATCGGACAGCTGACTTTTTTCAAATTCTGATTTTACGACCGTTTTCCTTAAATCCTGATGAAATCGGGATTAAATCATGATTGACCTCAAATCCTAATAGAATCGAGAAAATCCTGATGCTAGACACCCTGATGACAAAGTCAGCGAAACGGATCAAAACTTATCATGTATCACCTTTACATCATTGTTTATGCATCTTTTGCAGCAGGGAAAGCAAAAAACTTTACAATGAAAATTGGAAGAGTTGTCAAATTTTAGGGTATCATTTACTGAACTAAAGCTGTGAATACTGAATAATACTGAGCCAATCTGCGATTCGAGTGATATTTCACTGAAATTCTGAAGGTAACTGGAAAAAATTATCAACTCTGTAGAGACATTGAACAAAATTAGAGAAAGGACAGATTTTATTCTCCAGATTCAAGAAATTAAATTTTGTGTCCCAAATCTTTTTGGATAAGATTTGAGGACTGACGAATATTTGTTTTTTAATTCTCTAGGTGAAAAGCTCAATTATACTCCAATGACCAGAGTGACCTGAGAGACTCTTGCATTTGCAAGTGAATTCAAGGCAGTGGTAGGGGAGGGTAAAAAATGTCAGGACATTTTAGATCATAATAATATATTCTTGAATTTGTCATAGTGAGGAGTTTCTTCCACAAGTAATGAAAACATTTTCACTTTACTAAGTAGAAAATTGAGAACCTGGAGAAAACTTAACAAAAAAGCTTCATAACTGAGTGAAACCCAGGGTAATAAAATATGAATACAAATGGTACAAAAATAAATGCAACCTGTTGAAATGGAAAAAAAGGAATATTTAAAATAAAATGAATCAATGCGCAGCAGAACAAAATGACGAAATATCAATTAAAAAAGCTGACTTCACATGTTGGGAAGCAAGGAATGATAAACATTTACTTAGTGCACTATAGAACCGAGATATATATTTAAACAAAATAAAACTTCATTCGTTTTGTATGGTAAGGCACATAAATTGTAAGCATGTGTGTGGTATACATCAATGACTTACATATTTAAACTACCACGATTCCACACGATTCCATTTTTCTAGGAAAATAACCACAAAATATTATTCTCCAAATTCTATTTTCAGCGACATTGAATAGCTCACCTCACTATTGATGAAATTTATAGAAAAAAGCGCCTAAAAAGAATTAGAAAAATGGCCAATTCCTAGAATCTCTCTGAGCATAGGCATTCAGAGGAGCGATGTAAAATCAGTGATACTTTTATAATCGGCAACTTTGAAGCTTAACAAAGGAATAAGAGATATGAAAATAAAACTTTATAGCAGAATAAGATGAGAGACATACAGAAAGAACTTTAATTACCGGGGGAGGACTCTTGGGAGCCTCAATATAAATGAAATTACAAATTCCTTCGGAAAATACACTAAAAGTCATCATGCAAGCAGTAACGCCTGCGTGAAAGAACAAATTGACCTGTCTACCATTTTCAATTAAGTTTTGAGGGGGGCAGTTTTCTCTCACAATATCCTTACACTGCTTTGTTGGAATACTAGGGCTGTGCGAATATTCGCTTCGTCTGCCTTATGCACTACTCACAAATTGCGAATAATTGCGCGATTGCAAATTGTGGATTTTTGAACTGACATTTTCAAATATTCGCGCCGTCACGAGAAACGAATTTCCGAGTGGCAATCATGAAACGTTGCGATGATCTGCGCAAGGCTTGCCCTTCCATTCGAGACATCGCAAATGGCGGATCTCCTCTGATCTTTACCCACTTTGCCGACTTTACGAACAGTGAGTGCAAGCGCGATTGGCCCGCGTATCTTGATTGCTCCAAGAGTACTACACACTGAAAGTTAAATTAATAGCAATATCTGGCAGAAGTCTTGATAGAAGGGAAGGTGGGAATAAGCAAAGAGCCCAAATTAAAGATTGAAAGACACGGAAGTGTCTGAAATAGAAAAAAAAAAGTTCATAAACACATTTTCACTTACACCAAAAAAAATAAAATACTAAAATGTGTCTGGTGATCCTTCAATACTGGCTTGACTGCCCCTCAGTTACCTTCAAATCCTGGGAATGCATGCGTAAATGCAGGGACAGTCAAGTCAGCATCTAGGGATCTTCAAGCACATTCTTAACAGCCTAGGCTACTATCATATTGAATTTTATTGTTATCTGAGCAGGTGTATGAGCAAATGGAAAATTCTTATAAAAGTAATCCCACTTTTTTTTGTCAACTTTTGTAATATTTGCGAATTTTCACACTTGAAAAAGTCATTTCAAATTATTCCTTTTACTATTCGTAACTGTGAATAATTGACTTAAATTATTCGCTATTCGCGAATAGTTGCCGAAATTACTCGCTATTCGTTTCGTTTGGAAAATTCACTATTTGCACAGCCCTATGAAATACAAAAACTATTTTTCTTGGAAGTTAGAAAGAACCATGAGTTGGTTGTACAACAGAGATAAAACCCAACTAGTGAGTGTTAAAAAATTAAAAGTGTGTTAACAAATGAAAAATATTTCCCATGAATCATAATTTGAAATTTCCATGTACGACTTCAAAAAATTAAGAATAAGAAGGAAAAAAGAGAAAACTTAACTATAAAATACTTTAGCCTACATAAAAAGAGGAAGAAATTAACATAATGTAACATCAACGTTTTGATTAGCACACTTTTTTTCAAAACTTCTTTCATGTTTCAGTGTCATACTAATTCTTAATACTTGAGCAACTTGGACATTCTGTAAAGTTTTGCACTTTGGACAGCTATCTTACAAAATTTCGAAATCAAGAAACTCACATCCAGTGTCCTCTACATTTAAACTCAGCAGAGCAAGTTACACAAAAGAAAGAGTCTAGATAATAAGAAAAATGCAGTCAAACCCTGATTATCCAGGCTCAAATTATCCCTGGTTGTGCTGTTGCTTCTTCTTTTTTTAAAAATTGAGTGACTTGAAAGAAGTGTTGTGAAATTTTTTGACACAGTTGTGTTATTTCAAATTATCACAGAAGATACTGCTAGCTGGGCTTACTTTCTGAAGGTTAGAGGTTACAAAAATCTTGTTGAACACATCAGGAATGTCTAAAATCTATTCAATCACGCACGATGTAAAAGTTTGTAATACACTGTTTCAAAATTTCTGCGTCCAAGGACAGTTTTTACAGTTCTTGGCAGTCACATCCATCCAGAGAGCGATAGAAGAAAATTTACAAGACATATGATTACGATCGCTTTCTTCCTTTCTTGTTCTTTGCATTGCAATGACAAAAGTTTTTAACCAATTGAACATACAAGAGAAGGATATGTTGGATATCGACGAGGAAGCTCGCAAACGACGTGTCTTGTTTGCAATGTTTCACAATCTCTGCTTAATTTTTTAAAGGTGAACAAATTAACATCATTTCTTGAAGTTGTCACAGAAATTTCTTCCGGAGGAAAAATCACAGCAGTTTTCAAGAATGAAAGAAATTTTCTTACTGTATCTATTTAAAAAATAAAGTAAGACAGGAGGTCAGTAACTCTGCAGGATAAGATATGTGGATTGAAAGTTTCACCATCAATATGTAAAGGATTGCTTGTTTATGTAGGTTGGGTTTTTTTAAGCCTTTCTCTGAACAAACCTGACTTCCAGGACCTGACAAAAACAGCGTTCTGTTATGCTAAATCTGAAAAAATTCTACATGAACTGCGCTGATTGTGCATTTAGGCTTGAATTTTAGACATTCCTGCTGTCCTTATTGTGATTTTCATGTAATATTCATCATGATGAGGTGAAATCGGTTAGTTGTATCTCTCAAATGCAACAGACCCATTTAAGAATATCTATGTAACCCAATCCTCACCAATGAAGTAATCACAGAGGGAAACTGAACAATATAGGAACGAATTGAAAAACTACTTAACAATAATAAAACGCATGTTGACCCTGGTAACAAGTGACACATATTCTTGAACTGCAAGAAAAACAGCCTTGAGAACTTGAGAATACTACCGCCTCTCTTTCTTGGGTGGAACGATAGAACTTGTTTCTTCATCAGAGCTGTCAATGTCTGAAACAAAGTCAGTAAAAGAGTTGATAAGTAATTGAATGTTCATAATATATCGACGGCGTAAGTCCGCGATCACCTATCTCATTTGCAGTGTCTGAAAATCTCCGCCTCTATGTTATTTTTTTTAAGGAGGACCAATTGACATCATTCCTTGAAGTTTTTGCAGAATTTTATTCGCACAGAAAAGACAAATCACGGCAGTTTTAAAGAATTGCCTTAGAGTAGTTTCTTGTTTAAAAAATAAAGTATGACAGGAAGTCTGCGACGTCCCAGACCGAGTTATGCGATTGCCGAATTACACCGTCAATATGTATAATAATCAATAATTTTTAACAATAATAGTTTCGAACTAAAGCAACATGATGATACTCAGAATCAAGAGAGATTTGAAAGAGCTAATATTTGAGCGCAACTGTTAACCAGATGACACTCGTTTGTATGACCTTAAGGAATATTTTTACTGAAGGAATTCAGGATCTTAAAATTAAATAATCTTTCCAAGGGTTACACACTTAAACAAGTTGAGCACAGTTGCAGTCCTTAAAGAAATAAAAAATAAAAAAAACATAAAATAAAATAATTTTTTAAATGCTTAATGACCCTGTAAATCACAATTTTGTGAAAATATCACGAAATGATTGCGGTATTTATTCCCTCAATGTCCAAATAAAGGTGTTGGCTGTCAACATAAATTTACCTTTACATCATTTATCATAATGATGTGAACAAGGTCACTGTTTGATTGAAGAATGTCAATCAATTAGCTTTGAATTTGCGATAAATAATTAAGTTAGTGAAAAAGAGGGTAAATTAATTCGAAACAAAGAACATCAGAGATGAGGCGAGCTATTCACAAGCACAGAGACATGAAGTTTTTTATTTATAAAAAGGAAAAGAAAAATAGGATACGCATAAAGACGCGCTGCATTCTAATTTCACCCCAAAAAATATATTATCTCCTAAAATATTCTTTCTTTCCGATGAAAAAAGCAAAAATCTAAAAAGCCGTGGTGCAGAAAACTTGCAATTGGACAGTTGCGCTACTCACAGAATTGTGTCTGGACGATCCAAGTTTACAGCTGGCAAAAAATGATGAGGTTGATTCAAACGCCTAATTTCTATGTCCAATATTAACGGAGATATCATCCTTCAGAAAGAGAAAATGGTGTATGACATCAACCACAACAGCAGTTTGTGCCACTTTGAATTCAACAATTCAATTAGTGATATACACATTTGCACTGGCTGCTTGACTGAAAACATAGATGAAACGAAGGTAGAAGAAATCATGGTATCCACCACCGCAATGGACGATGTCATACACCATGTTTTTCAAGGGTCGGAACCTCTATTAATATTGAATACGGAAAATTAGTGTTTAGACAAATTTCACTATTTTTTGCAAACCGATAATCTGAAGTCATCAAACACTGTTTCATGACTAAAGCAACTAACTCATTGATAAACAGCTTTTATTATTCTTTTACACTTCGAAACGACTGTTACGAGTAGATATGATAGATGTGTGGTGTAAAAATAGCTAGCAGGCATGGCAAATTATTAGTCATATTTAAATTAGTCATGAGATTCATTCCAGTATTCATGAACCTCGCTCTTCCTTTTAACTATTTAGATACAGTTTTAACATGAGAAATAAATCGCGGAGAAGTGATGAAACTGTGCTATGTGCATTGCAAGTTTTCTATTGGTTAAAGAGGAAGTATACAGTAAAACTGAACAAATGGAAGAAAGGCTATAACTGACATGGGTTGAAAGAAGAAGAAGCACGAGAAAAAAAATATAAATGAAAAATGGTAGGATGATGTTGTATGAAGAGGTGACACATTGTTGATGGCACCCGGTATATTATGAAATGAAGATTTTACATGGAGCTGAGATTATTATTTGACTCAAGAAATTCCCCTGGCCATCATTCAATAAAAATAATCAGCAATGAAAAACCACATTTACTTTGGAGATGCATGATCAGCAACATAACTGATGTGCGATGAGGAAATCAATAAAGAAGAAAATAGGAAATGCAGAGGATTGCTTGAAAAAAATTCGGCCAAAATCAGAGAAATGAATTGAAATCTGGCTCAAATTAAACTGAATAATGTTCTCCTTCTTGCATCATATTGAATTAGACAAAAACAAGCACCCAAAAACCAAACTACTCTTAACCCATAAAGCAATGAAATTCTCCAGGAGTGCAAAAAAAAAATTCCTTATATGTATCCCACTGGAGGTATTAAAATTTTCTTTCCTGACTTTTTCTCATTTTCAGAAAATTTACAGAGAATCCTTCAGATACAGAGAATCAACAAAACAATAATTTGATGCATAAAATAAACAAATCTGCATCAATCTAACTTGTAAGTAGTTTACCCAAGAATTGTGATTAATTTTTCATTTATTTAGTATGAAATTGATACAAGATATCACTATAATACATTGACAGTAATCAGCGTTTCTGCTACTTGGATTGTGAGAGAAAATCAGTGATTGTAAATAACAACACTTACTGTAAATTCGATCTCTATCATTTGTTCTTAGTAATTCTGGACTGTCACTTACTGGATCTAATGGCCTAGTAACAAATTAAAATTTTCAAAGTTGGCATGAAAACATTTCAAAAAGCAGAATACAAGAATGAAAGTTTAGTTATTGGTGGGTGAAATTAAAAAGCACAGGAATACAGGTGGTGGTTAGATGGAATTTATACAATTTGAAAGAATTCTTCCCCAAGCAAACCATGCAACCAAGCGAGTTGTTTAAAACATTAACTTCTAACGGATGGTGCTAGAGCAAATGCATTTTGAACTGAAAATAGAACCTCCGGATTTATGAAATTTGACACAAAACTAACACAACATTATCAAAACTATTTTTGCTCTTCATCTAACGAGGAGGGTCATGCTCCCTCCTTCACAGCAAACCTATGCAATTTCAAAAAATAGTCAGCAGTTTGATCAAAATGAAGAGAACGTTGATCTAAGCCACCCAGGGCCAGGCCTTTTTGAATATATTCTTTTAGGTTAAATAAAGATTGGGGGGGGGGACCGAATAAGGACTCCATCACGATTGAAATCCAAATTCTATGGTCCCAAAGCAAATGTGGTATCCCTTCTTTCTAACAGTCCCCGTTTCCGATCAAATTTAACACAGATTCCCTCAAAATTTTGAGTGGAGAAAACGTGACCAAAATTGTTACCTCAGAGTTTCAAATTGACCTGTTCTATGAAGAAATACGACCTTTGTGGAGGAAAAGTGTGCTTTCCTCTGCAAAATTGTCATTTTTCCCCAAAATTGGTGTATGATCTCAAAAAGAGAAGAGGTCCTAAATAATCAACCATCGAATCATCGACCATTAAAAGTCCAAAAACGGCCTCCGTAACAGAGAGGGGAGATGAACAGAGAAATATCCCTTCATTAAACTACCTTAAATAAACAGAGGGGTTTTTACCTTAAAAGTAGAGTGCTTGTCCAATTATGTATTGGACATTCATTTTATCGAAAATAAACGAAGGGAACATTTTAAAAGAAATTTAAAAAAGAAACACTCGGTGTCAACAAACACAAAGCCATTCAGTTGGGACAGGATCAGTGACTCTACAAAATATTTAAAATTCTGATGAAAATCTCCAATATCAAGGTCAGAGCAACCTGTATAATCTCTTTGGACAGCCATAAAGACTTTGAGATGGTAAAATTCTGATCCTTTGGGGCGCGATAACAAGGATCACTATTTTCTGAAAATGCTAGATCAGTTCTGCGATAAAACTACATGAGGTGGAGGGAAGCGTTGTACGCTACCTTAAAGGATTGTATTTTTGCGTAGAATGAGGTTATTTTAAAACAAGAGAACAATTTCTGATAAAATTTTTGAGACCAACTTCTTGGTGTTGACAAAATTAATTTGAAATTTGGTTGGAAGCTTTATCTTCCAAGACCATGACTTATTGTTTGCCCTTCCAAGAGAAGCCTAGGTTGCTGCAGAACTATGAAATGTGGATTCCTTGAGGATGAATTTTCTTACAAACCCTGATGTGAAAGGTGCAACCCAGAATAATTAAGAAAAAAGCCAAGCACAGGTGGTTTGAATCAGCCTGTACATGTTTCAACTGATGCTTAGTTTTCTAAGATTATAACCCACTTGGTGATAGATAATGACAGAGGATTCTGAAGTATTTACCAATGATATGATGTCATGTTCCCCCCTTGTGACACTATTATCATGTAAAATACATTGTTACAAAGACAGGTGCACAGGTACATGGAAGACACTTGTTCAAGGAATTATGAGGGGAAAAAAATTTATACTTTCGAGTCTGTTCTCTGAATATGTTTCAATGATGAGCATCAATTAAATATATTTAAAAAAAACAGACAAGGCAAACCTAACAGTATTTGCAGTTAGCATTGTGCAAAACAGAAGACCTCGCTTGAATGAGACCATGCAAATTAAACTGAATGAAAGGGAAAAATATACGCTGCAATAAAGGAGAAATTAAGAACAATTTTACTGTATGGTAAAAAAGTTAATTTTTAAATTATTTACATTTCATGTGTCCAAATATGTGATCATAACAGACATATTTTTTCTCGCAGTCTTCTTGAGCACATTGAGGAATGTCAAACTTGGATGCAATGGGTTAGTTAAGTCACTTTTCTTTATCATGTTGTTTGTTAGTATTAAGTGAAACTAACTTCCTATTTTTTCCTAACTTTCTTTAATAATGGCAACCGGGAGAAAAGTTTATGCGAAAGTGCAAACAATCAGGGTAGGCAAAAACGGGGTTTGAACTTCTGAGGAGAAACTTTCAAGCTTAAAAACTTGGCGGTAATTTAAGTTTACAGGAGGAATCTGCGCTATGATTGGTAATCCACAATTTTCATCATTTTAAATATTTTACATTCTTGTATATATCAACTGTGCAAAAGGAGCACTAGTTCTCCACAAGAACGATTTTTTGTGCAATTTTATCATGCACATCATTTTTTGATACCACTAACTGTAGAAATTAACTATATTCAGGCTAATTCTTCCTGAGCTCAAATGATCTATTGACCTCATCAAGCTGAGGGCGTTAAAGTGGAAATTTTAACAAACATCATTAGAGAAAAGAACATTTCTTCAAACATCAGGATCTAAAATTGACCCTTACCAAAGGATATTTCTTTAATTAAATGATACAGAAATGAACAGATGAGAAAAAAAATAATAAATAAAAAGTCACACCTTTTTTTACCTGGAGCATTAGATTGGTCTCTACTTCTGGTTACAATAGGTTCAGTTTGACCCATAAGGCAGCGGTCTACATGATTCTGTCCAGAACAAAATACTTCAATTAATATATGAACATTAAAAATAAAAAGCCAAAATTAATTTATAATGATGACAGAATAAAAAGATAACAGCTTGTCCATAACTTTGGCTGTTGTAGTAAAATCTTGAATCGACTGCCACAAAAAAGCTGGAGAGAGCTCTCTCCCATCAAAAGGGACTTGAATTTGGAGTGGGAGAAACTATTTTGATTAACTTTAGACCCAGATATGTATTGGAATGAAAAACTAAATTTTGGGTCAAAAGTCATGGGGCGATAGTTTTCATGGAACAATTTTATTTATCTTTCAACCAGTGTGTGGTGCTCATACTTCTTTATCTCTTCTTACTAACTCAAAATGTTTGAATGGGTGGGAGTTTAAATGATAAATTGAAATACAGAACTAAACATTCAAAAAGGATGAAGTTTCCGTTAACTTCTACATGAATTTAAGATTTTGCATAAATCCTCATATTATCTTTTAGCCTAGAGTGGGTAACAAGCTCTTAAATCTAATATAAAATGAAAAAAAAGTTACCTCTAGTTCATTGCCCATTTTAAATTCCATTGAACAAATTGGGCATGCCATACTGTCACTGTCTTTCACCTAGGAAAAATGACAAAATAAAGTGGAGAGATTATTAATGATACAGAATGTAATTATATTTAGAATAATTATGCTGCAGCTGACACATAGACGAGCTTAAACTTCTGTTATTTTCAGAGGTGTTCATATTTTAGATATTAGTATAAATTACCTTTAGTTCACAGTGTGTATTTTGCTGTTGCAAACTTCATCGTCAGTTTGATTGAATAGAATCAGGCTCTCTCAAAATGCAAGTTAGCTCCATCGATAGAGACCAATATGTATTGCAAAGTTTTAAGTCTTACAGGGCGTGCTGACCACTTCTAGCAGTAAGTAGGTAGATACTGTTCTAGACACGATTTAAACTCTTAAAGATGGTGAGTTTCAGCTCTTTCATCTAGTTCATTCAAGACTGGACCATCTTTTACAATTAGGATCTACTATTTCTGGTTCATCTGAAAAAATACCTCTCTGCGTAGGGAAACTAATGGCAAAAATGTTGTTTCTAAAATAAGCCAGAAATACTAGTTCCATGGTGCAAATGAGGTTCAAACTATATGTTATCCTGAGTTTTTTCTTAGTGGTTGCAGAACCAGTGCTCCTTTGGTATTAAAATTCTTCTATCTCTCAACACACTTGTGTCACCCGCCGCAACTTTTCTCTTCCATAGAAGAAAGCGTTCCTATTTTTTTGATGCTGTCGGCAAAGTGACCTCTGAAAACATGGCTAAAAAATTTGAGAATTCTTAAAAACAGTAAAATTGCTGTGAGATTCAAACTCTACTTTGGATTTTCCTATAATCTAATGAAAACCTGTCTTTGACATGAATTAAAAATCTTAGGCCAAGACAGACTAAAAGATCCCAAGAGAGTCAAACTTTAGGCTTCCACTGTGAGTCAATTGATTGAGTATACAATGAATATTGAATAATGGCCGTAAAATTGCAGGAATGTGTATCTCTGTTTCTAATGCTGCAGACTTCTTGTCACCCTTCTCCTTTTTTTTAATAAGAATAAGAAATAATAAGAAATAATATTTAATAATAAGAAATAAGATTTTTTTTTCCCTTTACAAAAAGAATATTCTGTGAAAATTTCAAGCAATATTGATGATTCATTCTTCTTAAAGAGGAGTAGTAGGTATGCCACTTATTTTTTCAGAAAAAAATTTTTTTTGGTTTTTTTCTAATGGATTCTTGTGTATCCTCAGCTGTAATTCAAGACAAAGATTTTTAAATTCTGATCATCACCGAATGAGTCATTATATATGTACAACCTTATGTGACACACTGAGTGATGCAATCATTGTGTGTATATTAAAAACTTCAAACAGGTTTTTCACTGGACAACATTAATTGACCTTAAGGTATCTTTATGTCAGTATCTACTGGATGGATTTTCAAAATTTTTTTTGTTTTCTTTTCCTGACTATTTTTGCTGACTACAAACAAGAGGGGTTTCTCTTTTCATTCTTCAGAAAAAAAAATGAGTTTGAGGGCTTCATTTGTAAATTTTGTTTCAAGTTGATGAAAATTCTAGTTTTCAGTATTTTTAAAAATCCTCTCCTTTAGAGCTAGAAAGAAATCAAAAGAATTGATAAAAAAGGGTTTTGAAAATTAATCCAGTAGAACGTGAAAAAAGTGTACTTTACCATCAGTACATTATACATGGTGAAGGTAGGGACTTACGACTTACGATAAAATAGAAGGAGAGATTTTGAAACACATTAAGATTGAGAAACGGAAAGAGATACACATCCCTGGAGTTTCGCCATCAATAGGAACTAATTACATTAATTAATTAAAATAATATATGAAAAAATACAAATAAATAACATACCTGCTGATGATTATCATCGGCATTTGAAGGAGACGCTCTTGGAGTGCCATTAAACGAATCTTGTCCACCAGAATTTCCTCTACCTCCACCTCTTGAGAAATCTGAACTATCTCTTCCCTACAATAATGGGACAAAAAAATCAATCTTAAGCAAATGAAGTGGAGGATCACTTTTACAAATGAGAACTTCATTCATTACTGACTAGATCAGCGAAGATGAATATTCTGTGACTTTGAGGGACGCACATTTTTTCCGACCTTATTTTGTGCAATGCAATTTGTCTTGTTCCTGAAGATTTGCAAAATCAAAACCATTTAAATTCTTTGCTTTTTCATTATATTTTCCTTGATTTTTACTTCCTTCCTCCAAACATCTTTGGGGGAGGGGGGGTTCTAAAAATCTTTGTTTTCTTATAAATCTTAGAAGCATTTTTTTTTCAGCAATGAAGGACAGAATTTTGTTCCCAAATATACAAATAGATAATTTTTTCAAAATAGCAAAAAAAACAAAGCAAAACAAAAGGTTTTTTTTATAAATTATGTGTAACGAGGTAGTTATCACTTCACAATTTCTTCTTGGGGATGTTTACAAATTTTCTCACATGATTTCTTTTAAAAAATTCTTCGCTAACTTAGTTACATGAAGTTAAGTTCAATATTTCTCGCTCCTCTTTAAGCGTGCCGTTTGATTCTACCCTGATCAGGTTTGGTATGAACATATTTTGTGTCTTGATTGGACATCACTAATGACTGATAAGACCTACCTTTATTGGCCCTTCATTGTTTTGCCATGCAGAACCAGAGGGGCTATTCTGATGTGTCTCATCTCTTGAGCCTTTTCTTTCACTTCCTCGTGCTAAAGCTTCTTTGAAGAGACGTTGATTAGGTTTAGGGGACTGCAAAATGTAATGGTTATATTTGAGTGATGAACAGGTTACAGAAACATGTAAAACATTAAGGTTTTTAGATCACAGCCTTTCACCATTTTGTATTCTTTTCCTCATTAAATTGGAATTTAGTTCAAAATTAGAGGGGTAAGCCCCTTTGCCGTTTCTCAACATATGACATAATATAGAAAGACCTGAATCTTAGTTCCAAAATATAAACAGAACAGGCTCATCTAGATACTATCACCTGTGAATAGCCGCAAAAATCATGACAATCAGTCCAGGAGAAGGGTAGAACGCACTGATGAAAAATGAAAATTTAGGGGGTCAAAGCTTATAATAATTATTTTACTTGAACAGATGCACTTACGATGCAACAAAAAAATAAATTGTGCATGAATGTGCCTGAAGAATTTAAAAAGATGAAACATTCAAGACAGTATAAGAAAAATCATTTAACTTACAGAACTCTCATCCATGAGTCGTTTGTTGAAATTAAATTCAACATCTAGCTGGGGGTTACTTTTATTGCCTTCAGAGATAAAGCTTTTAGATTGCTCTGCTTTTGATCCTTTTGTACTTTCAACTCCTTTTAATATTGTTCCTATAAAACAAACGGAAATCAGAAAAGCACAGATTGAAGTGACAGAAACAAAAGCCGATAAATTTTCTGTGATAAGCAACTCCTTGTATAACATGTGCTTCCCAAGATGATGTGATGAACTATGAAAATGGTCATGATTAAAATTTGAACAGTTTGGTCAAACACTAGAGACTGAAATACACCAGTTGTTTCACAATTTACTCTCGAGGCTTGGACTGAAGCTTCAATCTTCCTTGATAAGCAAAGCTTGAATATGTAAAAAAAAGCATGACAAACATAAAAAGGCCTAGAAGGCTCCTCATTATATTTTCATTTTTATGAAATTGAGAGTATCATTATTTAATCAATAATTATTAACATGATAAATAATTGTCATTTATGATAAAAATGTAAGTTACCTGGCTTATCTTCGTCTTCGGAGAACTCGTACGGAGATGTTTTTTCTTGACGTTTTTCTTTGATTTGGTTGTGGTCTTCATCTAACGATTTTCTGTTTCCTCTTTCATACATTGGTTTGTTACGAGACACCCAGCCTCCATCCTCTCGTACAGATACATTGCTCCTCTCATCAATGATTTGATTCTGATTTTTAGGTTTTCTACCATTGTTTGTTTGCGGTCGGGGATTGGTCTTCTGTCCTTTTCTTTGGTCAGGGGTTTTGGCCCTTTCAAAAACATTAAAACGGCTCGTATCGATAAAAGGTAACTTCTTGCTATCTGGCAAATCTTGTGTCTGACTCAAGTAGGTGCATACCCATTGATCCCATGATTTTGTGAATTCCTCGACACGTTTTTCAAGAGGAAGATTTGGGTTGATAAAAAAGGCTGACTGCTTTTTTTTGCGGATTTCTGTAGTTTCATATGTAAACTTTACAGGCACCCACTTCGACTTCTGTTTGAAAAAATCTACATCAGTAAACTGCCCCTCAGTGCTTGAGCTGGCTTGTGACTTTAGACTGGAATTTTTTAATCGACTGCTCCATGTATCCATTGGGCCAAAAGGCCTAATTGGATTTCTGTGCTCCAAAATAGAGTCATTTGCAAATAGACTACTTCTTCCTCTACTGACTGGACTTTCGAGATTTTTTGGGGATACACCACATGCTTTGCCAAGGGCAGAAGAATTTTCTGCTTTAGCCGAGGATGACACTCGCACTCGCTCAAAAATATCTGCGCTGTCATTTGAAATATCCGTATCCTGTTGAAAAATAATATACGTTACAGTTAGGGAAAATAAACCAAAAAAAACAAGAATTCCTCTCTTAGGATACAATACGAGTTGTATTTTATCAAAGATAGCGGCAAATATTATGCTGTCATTTAGCACCATGCTGTTCAGTTCCTGAATATGACAAGGATGATAATCTATGGTCTTTAGGACAGGGCATATTAGGGGGGGCTGCTTGCACAGAAAGTTCTTAAGAACTTATACGCTGATGAGGAGCCAATGCTATCAAAGTTTTTTCCTTTTTACAGCAATGAAAATTCAGTTATTTTCTCTATTAATATCTTAGTGGGTACATATAAGTTTTAAAAGAAACCATACTCTTTAAAAATGAATAAATTTTTGAAAAACACGATCAAACTTTTATACCTAATGGAGTTTTCTGAGCAAGAGCACCATTTGATTCAGAGTGGCTTTGCAGCACTGAGGAGAACAATTCAATTGTCAATTAATTAATAATTTCTGGATTTCCGGATAATTTTTAAAGAATCTTCAAACATCACCCTACACTGAAGAATGTCAAGTACTTTTTTATAAGATTTGACGAAGAAAGTTTTTTATTTAAAAACTCAAAAACAACGTCCTGAATGAATATTGCACATTATTTGGTCTTTTGATTTCCTACATAACCCTAGGACATGCTTCTGAGGTTATTTTAAAATGTTTTTCGATAAAGAATTGTGGACCCTGGCACAATACTTCCATGCACTTACCTAAGTAAGCTTTGCTTCCTTAGCCTTGGAATAAAACTGAGTCTAATTAAATTCTAAGTTTTAATCTTTCTGGCTTTGATTTCCTTTGATTGATGCATCAGAGATTGTATTGTTCTCAAAAGAGCATACATATACTTGTTTTTTTTCATATGGGCAGTATTTATCTCCGAAAAAACATCAAAACTTCTTCAATTTTTGTTGTAGACCCTTTTAATTCTTCCTCCTGTTTTACTCTTTCATTTTCACCCTAGTTTTTCCTTTCAGTTGAAACACAAGCAATGGATTAAATTATCAATTACTTTTGGTGACTGTAAAATTCTACTAACCTCTATCTTCTCACTGTTTTCAGATTTCTCAGGAGACAGCATCTGAGCTGAAAAAAGAAAAAACCAAGCAAAAAAATTTAAGTACAAGGATTGGTAGAGAGCAACAGCTGAGTAAATAGATTTTGAACATTGGATTGATTGAAACAATTAAGCACAAATATGGATGTTAACAGCAAGCCTTGCTTTGCAGGCAAAACGCATGGTAGACGCAGATGAAGGTTAGCCAAGGCAGCATTTAAAATCTGCAAAAGCAGTAAAAATTCTGTCCGTCTTCTCGGTTTGAAATGAAATTATACTACATAATGCAGATTTCTGACATCACCCTGATCACAAACCGGTTTCTACTCTACCAACTGGTTCTTTATGCTTCAGCCATTTTTCTAGGGCACAATACATTCTGTTAAAGGGACTGTTCAGCATACTCCAACCTGGGTTTAGCATGATGCTGCTGTTTACGCAACGGCCAATTCAGTTTCTGTGTGAAATCCTTTTTACTCCTATGTGAATTAGACTAGAAAATGTTTATATCCCTAAAGTGGACTTCGTTGTAACATTGGTTTAACCCAAAATGTACAATATTAGAAAAGTGATTCTGCCTGGACTGAACTATTCAGCCAAGGGTGCACTCTGCCTAGATGCTCTGCATGGGCTCAACAAATAATAAATAGTAAAAACACCTCGACTCCAGTGCAGATTTTGCATATTTCTTTGGTTGATACTCGCAACAAGCTCTTGCACTTTCCAACAAGATAACCTGATCACCTGACCACCAGTATTCATTTTTCTAGTTTGAGTTCTCGGTGGTACGTCGGTTTTCCTTAAAATATGAAGGATTGGCCCTTGTTCATTATCTTGAGATCGAACAAATTTTCAGAAAAATTGAGACAATCTAAAATGCATTTACAGCATTTCTGCTGTGAATAGCAGAAAAGGATTACCGACACAACATTCCTGATACCAATGAAATCATTTCACTGCAGAGTTACGACACAGATAAATGCTAATGAACTATTATGTGAAGCCTCACTGAAAAATGGGTGCAAACAAAAACCACTGATCAATATTCATAGAGGTGTCGTCAGCTAAGTTAACGGTTGTGTACTTTCCGTTTGCAAGTGTTTTCGCGTCACTACTATCCACTTAAAAGCATCCGACTCTCGCAGAAGCTAGAATACAAACTTAGATAGGTTTTTTAATATTTTCAAACCTTGTAACATTTTAATTTTTAGCCACACAGAAATCACAGCCACATCAGAGTTGCAAATCATAACTGATAAGTAGTTTTTTAACGATACAATCATGAGACGGATGTTTTCAAGGTGGATAGTAGTGGACGCCGCTTTGTGCAGAGGCCCCAATTTATTGTTGGCGCTTGCAAACCAAGAGTAAACAACTGTCAAATTAGCTGACAACACCTCTAGACAAGATATAAAAAAGTAATTAAGAATCAAAAAGAAGGATGGAAGAGGCTTACTGGTGTCTGAAGCGGGGCTGTTACCACCATCTTGAAAAAGATCAAAAATTTTTTCATCGGTTAACGCAGGAGTCTGGACATGGAAAAAGAAGCAACAAAAAAAAGAATGAGTTTTGATGATGAACTGAAAATTGCTATCCCTGGTTTGCACTTGAAAGCTACTGACATCATTTGATGTACATCGCTTTACTATGGTGCCGATGGAAAAACAGGCACACAACTTTGTTGGAAAGCGAGCAAGTATTTCTTGCTCACTGAGTCACTGATTGATTTATGATTAATAAATGATAAAATGGAAATGAAGTGTCGAAATGAATTATACGTGAGAGTTTGAAGATGTGAGGTTATGATCTAAAACTGGGGAAAGAAAAGAATAGACAAATGTCACCTCCAAAGATTGTACCATTCAACAGATAAGGGCTTTTCTTTTTCTGATTGGTGAAACCACCATTCCACCGATCGCCATTTTGGTACGAAATTGCCCGCGGTCAGTCGGGAGTTTAAGAACACACTTTCCACCAATGTGAACAAATGGATTTCTTCCTCTCTTCAAACCTTTACCGCAATGATACTGCAATAGTGCAAATGTATACTCAATGTATCAGCATTAACTCCTTTTCTGCCATAATTAAAGTACAAGGAAAAATAACACTAAAAAATATTACATAGTTCAATACATAGGCGACAGTGATGATGCAGAGCAGTCATCAGACTTAGCGACGGCGGGAGGCACGAAATACCCACAATTTCTCGTTAGTTTGCTTATTTTTGGCCTGAGATCTGTCTGAAGTAGGGTTAGATGGTCCATCGGTGGATTGAAAGTACCGGAGAAATCTCTGGTGCTCTAAGCGGTAGATTGGTGGTACCAAATCCACCGGCGGTGGCTCCTCCGGTCATGACATCAGCACCGACCAGTGAGTTAAAGAGCGCAGTTTGGTGATCAGTGGTACCGCCGGTCAATAAAAGAAAACCCCAATATTTGCATGCTAACCAATGGGCCAACTGATGATTGATGCATTCAGACTGATGTAACTGTTGTCTATTCTTTTCTTTCCCCAGTTCTATTAATACTGTTCAAATCAGTGAAAATAAGGTTTGTTGCTAAAGTCTTCGGTCTACTCTCCGGAAGATTGTAAAGCAGAGAGCTTGGAGGATTACCCGATAACTCGCCACCATCGCTCGCGTTGCTGACATCATCTGCCAAATTCTTCCTCGTTTATTAACACGTTATTCCAAATACATAAAAAGGACTAAATCTTCCACATTTCTCAACTTTCAAAACCAGAAATGAACGGCAGGTCTTGAACCTCAAGCTGTTGTTATCTCAAGATGTTATCTAAGCGAAAAAGACGCGCAGTGAGGAGAAAGTTAAGCTAACCTTACTTTCACATCACTCACTGTGATTTCCAGTAGTCTCCAACCTCAAGAAATTGAAGACTTTGAGAGCAGCTTGGCGACAGATGCAGCAAGTCTCTGGGTTACTCCTACTGAGTCGAACGACAGTTGTTGTCTTCAAGTAATGCTGGAGAGCTATCCGGAGACTTTAGCAGTGCACCGGCAGAAATGTCAAAAACAGCAAAAATGAAATGGCCGCTGAAACTGTCATTCGGCCATAAATTCTCGGGCCAGTTCAAAAATTTGGAGTAGCTAATGCTAAGCATACCTAAAATTCAAGATTTCGTCTTAACAGCAGGTAATTGTTGACATTTATAACCGCACTATAAGCAACTCACAAGTGCAGATGGACCTCAGGATCCAACGTCGTAGAGGTTCTGATTGACAAGAAGCAGATGCATATATGATGAAAATGACTTCTTGAGGAAAAAATATTTTTTTTCGATATAAATATCAATGTATTGAAGACAAATCAATTGAGAGCTCACCTTCTCCTGCTGCATGGTGCACTTTGCACAGTTGTTCTTAGTGGCGATCCAAATGAGTTGCTTTTTTTACTACGATTCCACATAGAGTATCTCCGGGGCTGTTAAATTTTGAATGATGACTGATGAGTAAGAGAACACTGCTGATTATAGATCAAAGGCAAAAAGAGCATTTAATCACGGTCAATATCAATAAACGAAATTACGAATACGATATGCTGTTATTGCTGTTGGCCTTGGCAGGCGCGGTTCTTTCGTTTTTGTGAAGAAAATGAAATGAGGCAACAGTGGTAATAAGTGTGGTAATAGCAAACAACAACAACATCGCTCGTTGCAGTGCAGGACAAAGACCGCCGCCATTTTAGTTTCCTTTCACGGTTCATGGTCGCATTGAGAAGCGTCCAAATTTCTTTCTCAATCTTGTGTAAGTGAGCCAATTTATCCGTTTTCTATTAATCAATCCCTTCTTTTGAGTAAGAATCTTTAAACTATCCTATCATTAGTGCTGTTAATTTTTGTTTTTATCGTAAATTTAATGTGGTCTTCTGTTGAGTTCGCCGGCTTCTTTAGTGCGTAGATGGTTGTTTATCTTCATCTTCCTCCACCCAGCAAGCCTATTTCACTCTGCTGAATTTGATTTTGACCTTTTCGTATTTTAATACTTGTCAATTATTAACCAAGTCCCATTATTTGACAGCTGTCTGGTTACAGCAGCAGATAACTTGATAACTTCTACTGAATGAAAAGAAATTTCTAGCTTCTGTGAGTTTTGGTATTTCCTTGCTGTTAAAGTATCAGGTATGTAGATGAGATTCTACCTGCAGCCAAGTTCAGATAGATAATCGTAGCAATGCCTGAAAGTCAGTTCAGCCGACAGTGTTTCTCTAAGAGCTCTCCTTTTTTATGTCCAGATCTAATAGTCAACACTTTTGTAAGTCACTATCTGTAAGTGTGTAACTGTACCACCTTGTGTAATTCACTGTTGAAGCTAGAAATGTATGCACTATGTCTGGCGTTGGATGTTCGGGCCCTGTAAGATATTGACAATGGTCTCTACATGTTATGATACAGCTCTAGTGGGTTTTACTTCTATGACTGACAGTTCCACCGATCATCTATCCGTATTGATTGGTTGACCAGTCATGTCCGGTCTAGCCACTGTTGTTGACTTAGTATCGCTGATCAGAGATTGGTCGTGGCAATGATTTTGCTGCTAATACTCCACTGCTCGGATGCAGCCAACAGTGTAGGACAGAATGTAGTTTTGAACTTATTCTTTTCAATCAGTAACTGTTCTCAATTTCCAATTGAATGTCGTATTCCTCTGATTTGTTCTTTGATGTCATGAATGCCCCTCCTAATTGATTCAATCCCTGTCCATTCAGATTCCGGCTTACCTGTACTTCTAATTAGACACAACTTCCTTCTAAAGAAAAAATGGCAGACAACGACGATCTTTTAGACTACGAAGATGAAGAGCAGGCAGAACCAGTGATTGCTGATGGAACTACTGGTGTTCAGCCGAAAAAGGAAGTTAAGGGAAATTATGTCTCTATCCACAGTTCTGGTTTCCGAGATTTTCTTCTCAAGCCGGAAATACTAAGAGCTATTGTTGACTGTGGTTTTGAACATCCCTCTGAAGGTATGTAACACTATCAATTATAATCTATCCCAGAAGCGTAATTGTTGTAGACCTCTGTTTTTTTTCTTTTTCTCTCCTTCAAAAATCCTAAAAGGGGCTGTGAGGCTAAGGCGTGCAAGTGCAGTTTTTGCTATTTGGAGAATCTTCTGTTTCAAGTTTCAAAATTACACGGACCCTTATGGCGGAAAGAAAGTTTCAACTAATGTTTTGATGCTTAAAAATTGGAATTAGGGAGCACATTTTTCATAGAATTTGCATTTAGACTAGTTTTTCTTGAAGTGATTAATCTCTCAATTTTATGCGCCTTGCCCTTCAAGCCACATATATTTTCTGTTACCAAGTATATGCCAAGGACCATTTTCAAGAAATGATGAGGCATTCTATTTTTGAAGTTTTTCATTTTCATGAATAAAATGTCATGGGTGATGGTAGTCACCTCCGGACAAATAATAAGTGACTGATGTCAGAGCAGAAATTAAAAAATAGTATAGAATTTTTAATTCCAGAAAAGACAACAAAATCACAAATCAGTAGATAACAGATAACATTGCTTAAAGTGAAACTTGTGTGACAAGCTTACAATCACATAAAAAAACCTTTAATTTGGATAGAAAAATTTTACAAAAATATCAGCGCTTGCCCTAGCTACCCAGGACAAGTGTAACCTCGCATTATTTCTATGATTTTATACGTAATTTTAAAGTCATTTAAATGAATTCTTTTAGAAATTCATTTTTAACAATACTTAAATTCTTTTCAAAGTTCAGGTAATTAGGAAAGAAGGTAATGATGTTTTTTAAAACCTATGATTGATTTATTCCTTAATTGATCTTCTGTTTACAGTTCAACATGAATGTATTCCTCAGGCTGTTTTGGGGATGGATATTCTGTGCCAAGCAAAGTCAGGAATGGGTAAAACAGCTGTCTTTGTGCTAGCAACGTTACAACAGTTGGAAGCAACAGAAAATCATGTTTATGTGCTAGTCATGTGTCACACAAGAGAGTTGGCATTCCAGATCAGCAAGGAATACGAAAGATTCTCCAAGTACATGTCTCAAATTAAGGTATGGTTTCCTTCAGTAACATTCTCCCCAGAAAGTGTTCAAATTTTAAGTAGCATAGATAGAACTGTAACATTATACTTAGTAACTCTCAAGATGCTTCTAAATTTTCCCGCCCATTTCTGCAAATGAAATTCTGCGCTCTTTAATCTCGTTAAAAATCTATGAAATTGAAAAGTTGACATAGAAAATTACTTAATGATGCCAGCTGAAAGAAGGAAAGTTTTTTCAGAAACTGTCCTTAACTGTAATTTTAAACTTTGGCTCGGGACTTTTCACGTTTTTGCAAACGTTGATTCAACTATGTGTTCCATTTAATTAGTGAAAAAAGGACTGTTTTTAGTTGACTTCACCATTCGGCAGCTACCTGAATTGCATCAGTGTTAATACTGAAACCTAATCAGTGAGATACGTAACTGAAACATAGACTAACTGTTAAGTAGAATTTTTTTAAACTTTCCTCCCCTTATCAGCATTTGCTTTCTCTGTATCTTGTTTTTTTACGTCCTTCTAGCATCTATTTAAATATTAAACTTCCAGGTCGGAGTATTCTTTGGCGGGTTACCGATTCAAAAAGACGAAGAGGTTTTAAAAACTAACTGCCCTCACATAGTGGTTGGAACACCAGGACGGATATTGGCTTTGATCAGGAGCAAGAAATTGAATCTTAAAAATCTGAAGCACTTCATTTTAGATGAGTGCGACAAAATGCTTGAACAACTCGGTAAGTTTTTTCAATTATAAATAAGTAAGCCAAGCGTACAGGTATGTTCAATCTGGTTTTCTAGCGGTTTGAGTCTGGAAAATCTGGAAAGTCAGGGATTTTCATGAGCAGCGTTTAGCAGAAGTGGAACGCTGGAATAAAGCACACACAACCAAAAGGGCGCCGAGGCGAAAGAGACGGAGACACATACACTCGATCTCTTCTTAGAAAGGGGGGCGGGTAGCTCTACCAGCGGAAGGGTAAAAGTTATTAGGGGAAAAGCGAGGAGCCTTCCGCTGCTCCTTGGAACGAAGGGTAGTTAGGGCACTTTGACGAAACGAACTACACGTTGCTACTAGAGTTTCTACAGACACCTTTATTCTAAACTTTCGACGGAATCCTCTCCTCCAGACTTTAAATAACAACAACAAATGAAACACACTCTTAGACCTAGGCTCCCGCGCGGAGTTCGTTTAGAGCTTAGCGTGACGGGCTGATCGCGGCTTGGCCAGGATCGCTGGTGAGCTAAGACGAGACTAATTTCAGAGATTTTCTGAAAACAGCGAGTAGCGTCGCCCTAGCCTCCCTTCTCCCCTGCGGCCCAATCCTCTTGGCCAATCAGGGCCTTACACGGGACTTTGATTTTCCGGGCTGACTGCGTTCACATGGGAACTGAGGAGCTAAAACTCTGTATGACATCACTTTGTCTTATCCTTGCAATTTTCAGCTGAGCTGTTGCCTGGACAGGAAACACAGAGCTCTGTTTTTAACCGCAATGCTTGTTTTTCCCATTCAGGCAGAAACCCAGACTGCGTCTTAGCAATATGGGTTTATAGGTGATTGAGTCTACTCAGTGACCCTTCCCCAACTTTTCAGTAGATTCTACCGCTCAAATCCATTGCAGAAGTCAGCGTAATTTAATAGAAAAAATCCAAGAAGAAGTTTCGTTTGAAGTTCAGGAATAGTCAGGGAATTAAAAAATTTTGGGAGTCAGGAAATCGAAAGATGAAAAAATTTTGAGACCGCCACTGCCCAGATGCATTCTTTAATCCAAGCACAAATCTCCAGCAAATCTGCTTTCTAAAAATTAATGCCAAGTTAAGGTTTTCTGAATTACCCTTATTATGAACCTGATGTTCTACTCTTTCCATGTTGCCACCTTCCGGCCAAAGTATCACAAGCACTATTTACACTTTGACGCCAAGTTGCGTTACATCTCATTACTGTCTTAATTTTTTCTTTTAAAATTTTGTCCTTACTTCTACAAAAATTTCAAGAATTAATCTTGATAACGGAAAAAAGTTTAATGTGATTATGTTCATTAATTTTTCTGTAAAGAATTGGAAAAGTTTAAGAAGTTTGCCCTAACCACAAATGGTGCTTGTGATACTTCGACTGGAAGGTGATGATGGCAGTATTAAGTATCTCAGACTAAAATTAAACAGAAAAATTAAAAATTGAACATCTGTAAAAGCACAACTCTAGCATTTAACCTTCCGACTTTTTTATTCAACAAAAAAGTCAACGATTTACCGGGCGAGTGTGGAGGCTCTGGAGGTTTTGTTATTTTTACAGTGAAATTGCCAAAAGTTAATTTCTCAAATTCGACTATTCTACCGGCCACCAATGCTGAATTCTAAAAAATATGATTCTCATAAAACTTTTTTGCTTTTATTTTTATCAAAATAGGAATACTTTTTGTCATACCTTTTGTGTTCGTTTTTAAAAAATACATCATAAAGGCAGTCACCAGTGAAATTGCTGTACCGCACTGTATTGTAAGTGTTGTGGTACTCATATGTGAGGGATACAGTGTTTAAGCAGTGGCTAGTAAAATTACTCAAATCTGATAATGTTTTTATCAGGCTTAGTCAATTATTATTTTTTTGTAATATATTTGTTTTGTTTTTTTCCACAGACATGCGAAGAGATGTTCAAGAAATCTTCCGAAACACACCACACGGCAAACAAGTTATGATGTTCAGTGCCACCCTTAGCAAGGAGATTCGTCCAGTCTGCAAAAAATTCATGCAAGATGTAATTACCGTTCCGCTTCATATTATTAATACCTTCATTTAGTGTCTACCTTTTAAACCTATCTCGGCTCCTACTACCATCAAACGTACAACGATGTGACTACATGTGTCGATCATTCCATCTGTATTGTGTGCTCCCTTTCAACCTCTAAGCTCTGCCACAGCTCTCCACGGTTGGCTCCCATGTCGATTATTCTTCGTTTATCCGTGCCGTCTTGTGTTACATCAGTTTCGCATTGTTCATCTTAGGGGAATTTTTTGTCGTCCATCAATTTTTTAAAAAATGTATTATTTTTTTCTGCATAAATCCCAAGGAGGAAACACTTGCTCCATCACCCTAAAAATCTGCCAATAACGCATCTACTCCGTCCTTTGCAGTTACGGAATCATAGGTTCCTTAGGAAGAATCCTTATTTTCCAAGTCAATTCCTTTAGGTTTATTTTCCAACCTCCTGACTCCTTCCTCCAATTCCTATGTGCATCTAAAAACAGAGCAGTTTACAACTTATGGTGGAAGAACTTTTATGCAAGTGGCTACTTTAGTGCCGATTAGTAATTCGTGGAGTTGAAAGTTTTTTTTTTCGCTGGCCGTAAGTCGTGAAAGCAAGAATTCAAACGTGTCCGAGCGTTTCGCGGAGAGGGAGGGTGGGGTTCCTGAATTTGAATTGAAGATGACGTTGGATGATGAACGCATTCATGGAGAATACTGTGCTCATCGTTTTGGCATTCCATCTGATGATTTGATTGTCTGCTTGAGCTCAACTCCTCATGGTGCTGGTCGCACATCATCGATCGGTGGAAACAGAAACGGCCTAGTTTTTGGGTCTTCCTGAACAGGTTTGACTACCTTGAGCCTATTATGTATTTTATTACTCTGCCTCAAAATGTTCTCTGTGAGTACGAAACTTCCGATTCTATCAGTTTTTCTGCTATTTTTAAGCTCAGGTTTGCATCAAACTTTATGTCTCCTTACACATTTTTTTTTCTTTTTTTACCATTTAAAGGGCTCTTGAAAGCTTGAGGTAAAGATTTTGTCAGGAACATTCTTGTGATACACCAAACATCTCAAACATTTGTTAAAATTAGTCAAAAAATTTTCAGCAAATTTTCAAAAACAAAAAAAAAAAAAAGAAGAACCTCCAAAGAGGCTCAGATTTACCTAAAGGATCAATTTCCAGTTTAAGATCCGAACTCAACTGTTGAACATAGAATCATCCAGTTGTCTGTGCTGACTTAATTGAAAGAAACATTCTCTTCTCTTCCAAAATATTTTCATAATCCAGGCTGGTCTTTTTAGTTCTCAGTTAGTTAAAGTGAGTCATAAGCATCCTCTTTTGTCAACTTTTGCCACTCAAAAACGCACCAGTATGAAATGTGTAAAACTGTTAATTTAGGTGTACATTATTGTTTTGCAAACATACTAAGTGACATCAACATTTGCTACTTTTTGCTGGATGCGTAGATAATCTCCAAAGTTGCGTCAGTAGCTTTCAAAAGCTGTCGTTCAGTTTGTACTCGGTGCTCAAGCAGTAGCAGGATTTTAATATTCTAAGATTTATCAGAAAGAGGAAAACTGTTAGTCTAAAAAGGATTATATCGATATTTTGATCTGATGTTTATAAATTACTTGGCATTTTCAGTTTCACACACACGCACCCAAAAAAAAAAAAAAAAATTAGACCAGAAACTGTATGTACCGTGTACTTTTTTAAAAGATCGGCATTGGAGCATTTAATTATTTTGTGGCTAAACAGGAAGTAATAAAGACATTTTTTATAGAACTTTTAAGGCAAATTGTAGCATAAGGGACAATACTGCATTTAGGGTAGAAACGAGGCAATATGAACAATATGCTTTCAGGGCAGAGCAGCAAACAAAATCATCTTGTAATGAAATTTATTGTCAGAGATAGTGATCTTAAATATAGATGCTTAATTTAATGCCAATTCTACTCCAGCCACTGCCCTCAGATTTTGTAAATGCTCCCATCTAGCATATGTTACCAGTCCTACATTACTACACACAGGTTTTTTCGCAAATCTCTTGATGCAGATACTATTGGTTTGCTTAGCAACCACTTTTCTCCTCTATGATTTGCTAAGCTCCAAAAATGCCAAGGCAATTTATTATTGAATTTCAAAGGGCCTCCCTGCTGCAGCATCGAAAAAAAAATAACAGATTAATTTAGTCCATTCAGTTTTTCACTGCCCTCGCGGCTTTTCTGTATTAAAATCTTCTGACAGATTTGTGAACTAAGATGTCAAGTCAATCATTCAACTGCCTTAATCTTGCCATTACCTTAAGTTTTTCTGCTGTGATCTGTTTTATTTTAAGTTCTGTTGATTTATGTCTAATATGTAAGGGGTTGCTCATGTATTAGATCTGGCTTTTTCGTCGACTTTTCTTGATCCCCCCCTCCCCCCTTGTAAGACTGCTTCTGACCCTTCCCTGTGTACTCAATTTGTCAAAAAATAAGGAAAAAAAGCTCAAAAAATGGCTAGAAAATAATTCTATCGGAATTTTTTTTTAAACAGGAGGCTGAAGATAGACTGGGCTCGATACCCCCTCCCCTTCTTCGTAGCCCATCTAATACTTGAATAGCCCCTAACTGCTGTAACCCTTTGAGTCCTAATGAAAAGACTGATTTTTCGCTGCTCTTTTGGTCCAAGTCTTAAATACAAATCACACCGATCAGAGAATTTTTGTAGGGTTTTTAAATGCAAAGAGTTTTATTATTGTATTTATGTCCAGGAGATAAGAATTTCAGAAAATCAAGTCCTTGGTCGATCGTAGTGATTACTCTGATTTTATCAAAATGAGAATTTGAACCTCCATGACATAATGGTTCCTGCCTCTTTATCTACTATCATTGTGATATACTTTATTGAGATACGTGACTGACAACACTAAAAGGGACCCTCACGCACAGAAGCTTATTTGTCAGGTTGAGTTAATAAATCAAAATTTAAGTCCTAGGCAGGAATGATCTGTAAGAGGACAAGAATCTACCTATTCCCCAGACAAATATATCTGTATTCCCAGGAAGAGAACGTGTTGCAAGCAGTTAAATTCCTTTTGAGCCAATGTGGGTTGTAAAGTTGCATCTTAATCCGATAGTTTTGAGCCCTGAACATAGGAAATTAATTGCATCATTGTATTATAGCAATAGCATTATTGCTCTTCTTTTCTGAGAGTTCTTTGCCAAAATATTTGATGAAACACTCCGTTTCGCAAGGGAATAAATTTGGTGGCTCTCCTTCCTGCAATGTCAGCAGTATCCTAGTTTTAAAGCTTCTAAGGTCTCTCCCGTAAATGATCACTTAAAAGTAAAGTCTGCAGAGAAGACAGTGTATGCAGGGTGTTTTTTGGTTAGCAAAACCTGGAAGGCAGGGAATCGTCAGAGAATTTCATCAGGGCAGGGAAAAGTCAAGGACTTTGCTTTAAAAAAACTGAAGTTTTGAAAAATGTTGAAACTTGAGATGTGACTAAACGTTGGTTCTGTCCACACAATCAAAGTGAGTCTTAGTTTGGTTCAGGCTCAATGCGATATACCCTAGAAAGTGAGCAGAGAAATAAGTTTCAACAAAGAATTACAATTTTAGTCAATTGAATAATTGATACCTGAAGAATAAATGTTCTCATATTTTATTATTTGCAGTTAAATTAAAGCCAATAGTTATCTTTTTTATTTCTGCGCTTGCAAATTGACAATGTGAAAAGCAAGGAATCTTGATAATTTTGGTCACGAATGTTTTTTTGCTGAGTCAGTAGACACCCTGTGTATGGCGGAAAGTACTGCTCTTTGCCACAGTGATACTTTATTACCATCTCCAGAATGCAGCGTTTAGACTTTTTGAGCACAGTTTGTTAAGTGTTCTTCCTATCGTCAGTTGAAGAATTTCAGAGTGGAGGACTCAAAGTGTTATCAGTCCATTTGCTTTTCATTTCTTTGATGCCTTTACTTATGTCTTGCTGTATTTTTAGCCCATGGAAGTGTACGTAGATGATGAAGCGAAATTGACCCTTCACGGATTGCAGCAGCATTACGTCAAGTTGAAGGAAAATGAGAAAAATAAGAAACTTTTTGAATTGTTAGATATCCTTGAATTCAATCAGGTAATATGAAACCCATTTTCTTCTTATCAGATGTTCCACCTCTTTCATTGTGGACCTTTTTCTAGGGAAGCGTTTTTTATTGAACTGATGTGCCGGTTAGGCTCGAGGCTATCATGTACATGAAATTTCCCCCTAATAACCCTCTTAATTCCTCCCACCTCATGGAAAATGATCTAGCTGGGCAATGGGAGCTTGTCAAAATTTCCTGCGACAGCATCACGTAAAATTATCAACCTATTTTTCCCCTTCATTCTCTTACAGATTTGATTGATTTCTTCAGAAGGGAGGGGGGCGAAGTAGAAATTGATGTACCTTGATTATTAATTTCATTAACTGTAAAATAAGGGTCCAAAAGATTGCCCTTTAGTTTGCCATCGTGCCTGCTCAAAACTTGGCATAGGATAGATCGTCAATCAAACTACCAAATCAATACTGCATTACACATTTTGGTGAGACTTTTTGCTTTGATCTTACTCCCAAATCATTTAAGTTTTAATCCTCTCAGATGGCAGCTGGACAGTTATTATTTGCAACAGAGAAATTAAGTTACAGTACAAATGTCTTGTAGAAGTGTTCTTTCTTTTTTTTTCTAATGAGTTCTGTATGCCTCCCCATTCCTGTAAAATGACATGAGAGCATGTTTCTGGACTGTATGATTTTATGAAGCTCATATTTTCTTCCGAGCATAAAATCTAGTGGTGGCAGTAGCCGCAGGCATGTATTCCATAGTTATTACTTCGGCTGTGACTTGAAGTGAGCTCAATGAGACAATTATACTACTCATGAAGTCTTATTTCAATGGCCGAAACTTTCCGAATAGCCAACATTTTGATTATGCTCAATGAATATGGATAAAATGATTATTGTCAAACCTTTTTAGAAACTTTCAAAGAATGAAAGTTATCAAATGGGGATTCAGTTGAACTTGCATGTGCAAACCTATTTTTGTAATTCACTTCAAATCCTGCATCTATCAAGTTCGATTTTTTTTAGGTGGTGATATTTGTGAAATCCGTAACAAGGTGTATGGCGCTCTCACAGCTTCTAACGGAACAGAACTTCCCTGCTGTGGCTATTCACCGAGGCATGACACAGGACGAACGGCTGAAGAAGTATCAAGAATTCAAAGATTTCCAAAAGGTGTGTCTGTCAAATTTCATTCTTATCAACACAGCTCACAGCACTTTATGAGTACCGCTCATGCTTTCTACATCTTATTTTTCTGTTTCTTTGTGCAAGGAAACTTCTTATCAGCTCCTTATTCTAAGACTCAAATTAACCCGCTATATCATCGAAACTTTAATTCTCGCTGATTAAATGATGAAATTAAAACAGATAGGGACATCTGATCTATGATGTGATGCTGTTTTCTGATATTAATCATGAGTCTTAGTCGTTATCATTTTTCTGTGGAATTACTTTTCCAGGAATTTTTCCAACCAATTTGTGAATTAATGTCTTCTGAGAAATTGATTTGATTGTGTGAGCTTAATGTAACAGAAAAAAAAAAAATTAAAATTACCCTCTAAAGCTGAGAAATTTTGATGGAGGTACAGTCAATCCCTGTTAAGTTGAATCGTTGTGAGACCAAACTTAAGTCTGACTCAAGTGGAAATTTGAGTTAGCATCCACCTCAATAGTCAAATTTTCACCGAAAGAAAGTTAACTAAGCATGATGAGTAACTGTAATGGCAATTCTTACCAATTTTGGGAATACGACTGGCTATTTGTATTTTGGTGAATTCGGAACGCAGCAAAAAGAGACAGTTTTATCACAATGTGACAAAGTATCGGCTACATTCATTTATTATTTTCCTGCATTGGAACAGCAAAGATCATTTTACTTCATCCTTCTCGCTGTTCACCAAGAAATGCTGGTAGCTGTGAAAGACTGGCGCAGTTGTGGGTACAAACAGATACAGAACAAAAAGATAATAACCGTCTTCCCCTGAACTTGCAGTAATTGGGTTGAAATACTTGATGACTTATGTGAAAAAAATCCCTTTGGGAAGAAATTCCTTCAAGCCAAGTAGATACTATTCTCCTGTAGCTATAGCCATGCGGAACTGTGCGAAAATTTGACCTAGTGGAATAGAAATTCTGTGGCATTACCCATGGTTGGCTGTATTTTCATCTGTAATTTTTCTCTCAAATGATGACAATAAAACAGATAGGGACATCTGATACGTGATGCGTCTCTGTTTTCTGATGACAAGCTAGAGTGCCTACCAAATCAACCATATGTATCATATTTCATGCAGAATTTTTTCAGCAAAAATTTGCTAGCTTCGTGGACTGACTGACTGTAAAATGACTTTCAACTTCGCTGGGTTATTTCCTTCTACCTATGCTGTTATTTTTTATCCCATGAATGATGACAACAAGACAGATAAGGACATCTGAATTATGATGTAACTCTGTTTTCTGATATTATATAGGTAGTTGAATTATTCTCCGTTTTGTTTTAAATGTCATTTCATAGTGAGGAAGATAATTATTTTTCTTTTTTCCTCTATGTCTTTTGCAGCGTATTCTAGTTGCGACTAATTTGTTTGGACGAGGAATGGATATTGAACGAGTGAATATTGTATTTAACTATGATATGCCTGAAGATTCTGATACCTATCTACACAGAGTCGCAAGAGCAGGGCGATTTGGCACCAAAGTAAGATTCTAATTTTGTGTTCTTTTTAATTTTAAGCCCCAGATGCAGTTGTGCAATTCCTTTTTCAGGGACAACTGAACACCATCTCAGCTGAGAAAAGACACTTATATTTTATGAGCCAACTGAGCAAATTTTGAGGAATTAAACTTAACTTAGTAACTTACTTTCTCTTGGGAAAATTACAGCGTAAGAGTGCATCAGGGGTGCAAATTTTTGCAGAATTTTGCTCGACACGTAAAGTAACGTGGTCAACGGTTGGGTTCCCTCAAAACAGCACGGTCAGCAGTTTGGTTCCCCAAAAATAGCGTGCTTGAGTGTTTTGCTCCCCCAAAAACAGCGCGCTTGACAGTCAATTCCCCCTGAACACCCCCCCCCTCCCAAAAAAAACCTCCCAAGGTTCCCTCAATATTTTTGTCCTCGCATGGGCTCCCCCATTTTTCTCGTCCTCACATGGGTTTCCCCATTTCACGTAAACGGCTGGTCGCATGGTTGGGAAGTTTCTGCCCCCCCCCCCCCCCCCGGAGGGCATACCTCACTAATTTTAGAGTTTCAATTCCATCAGTCATTTTTGAATTTGACCACCTTTTTCAATAAGGAATTACTAATTCTAGCTCATCGACGAAACAAACTTCTTTTCTTCATAAAAATTCTAATAGCAAGTATGATTCTTCCATAAAGAGTCTCAAATGGTAGTTTAGTTTGTTTTCGCAAAATGTAGTCCATATTTTTTCCTATTTATTTAAAGTTATTATAGGTTAACAGTTGTGTTGTTTTATCAGGATTTTATTTATATCTAAGTGCAGGATTTTTACCTTTCCCAACTAATGTCTGCCTCTCGTTTATTTTTGTAGGGTTTAGCAATCACGTTCGCCAGTGATGAAAATGATGCCAAAATTTTGAATGACGTGCAAGACCGATTCGATGTAAATATTTCTCTCCTTCCCGATGAAATTGATCTCTCCTCTTACAGTAAGTTCCATCTATTTCGTTTACATTATTATGTCTCACAAACTGTAAAAAGGGGGGAGATTTTCTTTTGGGTGTGTTGCAAAAGATCGTTCCGAAAATTTGAGGAATCAACCAGAGTCTTGCCTCCTGAATACTTGAGCAATATTTTGCAAAAACTTGATTTTTGTGTGGGTCAATTGGACAAAAAAGTTGAAGTTTGTCCCTTTTCCTGCTCTGTCCTAGGTGATTATTAACACCTATGATTAAATTCATAAACAGATTACCAACACATTGACACAAGCAATCGTAGAAACTGTTTTAATCGACCCATTCCAAATCTCAGACGTCAGAATAATGAATTTTTGAGAAGATTGCAATTTTAAATGGATTGTGGTTCTCGCAGAAACCTGTGATTTTAATGGGGATAATAAGGACAACAATGAATTGGTGCAAGAGTCTTTTTGAGAACGAACAGACTTATTTCAACATATTTTCCCCATTTTAAGTCAAGTTTCCAATGTTTCAAGCCACAATATGTACAAAAACTTACATTTATACTTTCTTCACCTCAAACTCAATGATACCTTAATTACCGAAGATCTACTATAAGCACTAAAACTTGGGTTTGGCGCAAGCCAGGCCTAGGCTCTCCTCCTACGCTCTTGACTACGGGTACAATGATGGCTTCGGCAGATCGGTACCGGGAGATGGGGGGGACCCTCCCCCAAATGGAGGGTCTGGGGGGCCCCGGCTTCACCGGGGCAGGGGTCAGGGACTGCCGTTCGAAGAGTGTCTTAGGGACATCCAACGGCAGGATAGAGTGTCTGATGGGCCACACTTGCACGGGGTGTGGCCTGTAGGGATCGTTTAGTGGGTACGGAACACAGCGGCGTGCTCCACCCCACATAACCGGATTTTTCCATCTCTCAGCAGTCGGGTCGCTTAGGGGTCGCTTCGGTGGCTTTTCACCAGCTGATGGCCGTTGCCGTCCTGGTATTTGGTGGGCCCCTTTCATGGGGGGCGTCTCGGCAACCCTCATGATGGGGGCACTGTAGCGAATTTTTCCTTTCATCCAAAATAAAATAAAATAAAAAAAAAAAAAATAAGTACAAAAACTTATTCAAATCTTAAAATCAGAAACCTGTTTGCCCAGAAAGAACAAATATTTACGCCCTCATTCTCAAAAATTTGAGATCATTGCTGGAGGGATTTGAATCAGAGCAAATACGGATAAGCAAGTACCAAGTAGCCCTTGAGCGCTTGAGTTCAATTGAGAAGACTGAACATCTCAGATGTCTTTTAGGCTTTAAGAGTCGGTTTTTCTGCTTGTCTTTCTTCAACAAGATGCATGTATGCCTAAGCAATATCGAACCACCGAAAACTCAATTCTCGATTTTATGGAGCTTAAGTCTATTAAATAATTACCCATTTAATTATCATTCAAATTGCATTAATGAGCAACGTTGAATTTAATGTAAATCCTTTTTATCTATTTACAGTTGAAGGACGGTAGACATTGCCCTCTGATGAATGAATGGATACTGCATCAAGATCTTTTTTCAACTCATTTTTCGTTGTATGGACATTGCATCAAAATATTTTCTCTTTCCTGCACTCCCGGACTCGAGGAAATTACTTGGATGCGGCTAAGAATTTTTCCATCTCTCTGAGTTTCTCAAAGCTGATGATCTTTTACTAAGAATATGCTTAGTCAAGTTCTTCTTGTGAAAATTTAGTTGCGTCCTGAGAGCTATTATAATTTCCTTTTCATCGTTCATCTTAGATTTTAAATCTGTAAATATGCTAAGATTCTCTTTTGCAAATGATTCTTTGCTAGAGTTAGTGTGACTAGGTAGGTTTTTTTTCCTTATTTTTTCATCATATCTGTGTTCCAGATTTTATTACCGAAATGAAAAGCTCTCAAAGCACTTTCATATTTATTCTTTTTTCCTTTCATTTTGTTACTTTCTTTATGTCAATCTGTAAAAGAAAATCGATACGATCATTCATGAGGTTATTTTCTGTGATTTTTCACCGCTAACTTTTTACCAGTGCATTGTTTGCAAACAATTCAAACTCAAAATCGAACGGGTTTATGTATTTCTCACTCTTATCTTTGTCATTCAATTTTTCTCATGTTTTATACCTTTGACTGTAATGAGTTACATTATTACAACTTCTAAACTTCAAACAATTTTCCTAATGTATTTGTATTACATCCTCAATTTAATATTTGAATACTACGGTATTCACCAAATCAGTCAATAAATTAGTCTCAGTAACTTGTATTTTTCGTCTTTCTTGTCCAAATCCTTTTTATAAACTAGGTAATTTGTAAATTTATGCAGTAAGAAATACCGTAGTAAATTAAGATTCACTTAAACTTGAAGCACTGGGTGCTGGAAGGGCACTTTTAGTTGCAGTCTCGTAGAATTTTCTCCAATGCTTTAACCATCACATGTAAGGAAAGCAAATGTAAGTACTTACTTTGTTGAAACTCTCATTGAGTAATCTTTATGATCTTGCAGAGCTCCAAATAAAAAATTCCATAAAAATTACACAGGAGTGCCTCTTTAAAAGATAAATCAGCAGTGGAAATTCTAAAAGCACACAAGTTTAAAGAGCTGTTCTTGCATTCGGTGCCTCAATGTCATGAAAATAAGTTGATACTCTAGCAACGTACAAAATCTTATCAACTAACTCAAAACTAACCATCTGCTGACCCTTTGTAAATGGTCGATCCACAAATTATGAACGCTGTACCTAATTAGTCATATTCCGCCTGCCATCCTGAATTTGCGTTGCTTCAAAAATGAACGTAATATTTGCACTAGTGGATTGAAAAAATATGTAACTGCATTTTATGCAGTCTTATCAGTGAAGAGTTCATTCATTGATTCCAATTGTTATGTTTTATTTACCATCCTAGCTACAGAAATCTGTCAGATCAGGTTATGTAATGCTACATTGGAGCTCTACACTGAAGTATTTCTTATGAGACCTTCAACCTTTGACTTTTCTAAGAAATATTGTTAGGTTATCCGAATCTCATGGCTATCTTAACCCACTTTTATTATTAAATAGGGAAGGAACTCTATTTTAAGGTTGGTGACTATCAATTTACAAAAGCAGACTGAAAAAATACTGAGCTGGTATTCCAAACGAAAAGAGGACATTTTTCGAAAAACTAAATACTTATTTAATCTAAGTACATCAATTCAACTTTGCGAGGTACATACGTCCATCGGTGACATCTTTTTTACAACGGAAAAGAAAAAAGAATAAGTAAAGATGGATACTGAACAAGTAGTATTCCCTTATTTACTGCAAATCTGTCAAAAATTCTAAAATTTGCAATTTCCATACTCACAAATTGCAAGCATATCTCCCATGTAAAATTTACAGTTCGTTAAGTTTTCAGTTAGTAAAGCTGTAAGTATGTAAATTTTGCTCCTTAAGCTTTACTCGTCTTTTTGGAGAGTGAGGGTTGCAGTCCCATTTAACTTTATTTAGTTCAGACAAATGATGTATATCGATTGCTGAAGCAGAAGAATAGACATCTCCGACAGCAGTGTGTTAAATCCTTGCTCTTGTTCAATGTTACTGAAGAAAATTTATAGACAGTTCGAAATCTTTGAATTTTCTTCTCTCATTCAAAAATATTTAAAGGAAATTTTAAGGAGGTACTTATGTTGGTTTTGTTTTTAAGTAAAAAATGGTTGGAAATTTTTAAACATTGCACTTGAGATTTGCATTTTCGACTGTCTATATTTTCAAGAAAGTGAGAGGAATTTTGAATTATTTGACCGTGGACCTTTTTGAACTATCAAGTTACTGAACAAGAACTAAGTACTTTAGCAGTCTTTCGGAAAGATAGAACCCAACTCATTTTGTGTGAGACTGAGCTGTGCGATATTGACCGCTAACCAGAAAAATATAATTCTACAAAGGATAAACTTATCGAACACCTCTTCTCCTGTGGTGGAATGCGATTGAGCACAGGGGAGGATTCCATGAGCGCCGCCATCCGCGGCGCACTATGGTTCACAACTCGAGAATAGGAAGAAATAAGTCGGATAATAAGTGAACGATCACGAAAGTTGCGTAATTGTTGTTTTTTGAGTCGCTGATTTTGAATTTAATGTCAAATTGCCTACATTTTAACAGGCACACTGCGTCGCGGCATGCTGTCAGCTCGAAACGCGCACTGACGCCTACAAACCTAAAGGGATACTTCAAGCATTGCGCAATGCGTGGTGTAGCCCTTTAGGTTTGTAGGCGTCGTCGGTGCGCGTTTCGCGCTGCTGGCAGCTTGCCGCGCCACGGCTATCCCGGCGGGCGGGGGGTGAACGATTTCTTGCAGGGAGAGCTTCCTGGCGGAGAAACTCGTGTATCGGGCTGTTCGGGTAGTTTTTTTTTTTTCTTTAAATTTTTTACTTTTAAAATTATACATTGGTCGTGTGAGAGAAGTAATTAGTGAACTCTCAACGCTAGACGAAGTGTTATTATGGAGGCGCGGGTCACGAGTCGTGCATTTTTCAAATATTCGCGCCAGAATTGAAATGGCGCGTAGAATCGAAACGATTGATTCTCTGACGTCACTACATCTTGTCTACGTCACGAACGATGTCGGCCAACACGCTTCCTCCTCGTTTCTTTTCCAGTTTCGTCATAGAGTACAGTTTCGTTATCAGTAAAATCGAGCCGACACCCTTATCAATGTTTTGATTGCAAACCCGCGAAGGATCTGAGCACGCGCACGTCATCTCTCTCGAAGAACTTATTGATTTTCTTGTCACTTTCGTTTCAAATATGCCTGGACCTAGATGTACCAATATTACCACTATTATCATTGTAAGTAAATTCACAATCCATCGACTTACACGCAATTTTTAGTGACATTCATTGTGTCACTTCTGTAAGCGGTTTATGGTAAAAGCTACCCAAAAGGGTTGAACTTTTCTTATCAAGCTCATTTTCAAAATGAGAGCTCAGCATCTTGGGAAACCCAAGATCCCTGTAGAGATGCCATGATTCGCAAATATCTCCTCTCCTTTGCACATGTGCAAATGCTGCCAGGAGCCTTTGCACTGTAGATGTCCTCTCAGTGATAGGATTTACCCGTGAGTGGACCACCATGAGTTTCATTTTGAACTATCTGATTTCTGAAATTAGAAGGATCCTACTAACATAAGAGACTAACATCCTCTTTTTTCAAAAAAATTTATCCATTTTCCGAATGGTTCATAATTTCTCAAATGATGTTGGTGACTGTATAGTACATGATGACTAAGAAAATAAAATTTAATGTGATTCATGCCTCAGGTTTGTGTTTCTAACCAGAATTGCATGAGCTGTGAAGATTTTTTAATTTTTTTTTTTGCCTTGTGACAATTGCAAGCAGTGGGTATCATGAATGTTATCCAAGAGAGTGCTTTTTCTTAGTTTGTGCTGATTCTTCGCAGATTTAGAAGAGTAGAGTCCAAAAAACGTTTTGTTTTTGAGTAGGTACAACTGCATTCTGAATACTTAATATCATTTTAATTGACATTCACCAGGATCATGAATGTAGAAGTGTTTATCTTAAAGCCGAAAGCAGTCATAACTTTTGCTTTCAATGGTGTAAGTAATGAGAATAATTGGTATTTTCATCATGTATTGCTCAATATGTTGCCGTCTGTTATATCAGTTCAGAGTTATTAAATTTACACCGCGTACTTGTACTGTTTTGATTAAAAAGCAAACTACTGCGAGCACTCCAATTAGTCAGTCATTTTTCATATAATGATAAGATTATAAAAAAGTTTATCGTTCAGTAAGTGGCAAGTTTCTTTTTAATTTTCAAATCAAAAAAGTCTTAAATTCTAAAATTTAGGGCTAAAATTAGGTAAGTATACTGAAGCACATCAATGACTGAAGTTGATATATGCATATCTCTGATTGCAATGTTGCAAGTTTTAATTTTTCTTCAAAAGGAAGCAAGCTATACAGTTTTTCTCGAAATTTCCTGAGGATTTTCCTCACTTATTCAACAATTGTCCAGGAATCATTTTGGCTAGTCTTTTTTTCAGAAAATCATGCGTAATTGGAGATTTTAATGTAAAGTTGCAATTGAGATACATATTTTTCAACCTCAACCATTGACTTTCTATTCTGCAAGGGAAAATCAGTCACCATTTTTTTCTTAAAATTTGAGGTTCTTTTTCATTTTTGACGTTCTGATAATACTATTGAATTCTATGTTTTCTATCAGGAGAAGATGAAAAACACAAAGCTGATGAGCTGGACAAGCATGGTCCAGCTATTAGAGGATGGCAATCTAGTAGGAACTGTGACTTTCCACAAGAGATCATATTATTTCTGCATCGGCCAGCAGTACTTCAGCAGATCCAAATCCTAGCTCATCAATATTTGATACGTAAGACCATCTGTATTTACTTATAAAGAGATCGCTGAAATTTTGAGGAGAGTGACCTCGAAAAATGTTGCTCAGAAAAATGCGTCCCCGTTTAATGTCAAATGCCACGAAACATTTATATCAATGGCGAAACTATACCAAACTGTGTATTTCAATCTTTGCCTGTTTTGAATTTGCTCTATAAATAAGTGGTGCATAGTTTTTATCTATAATGGAAATATTTTAGGAAATAATTCAAAATTTACCCAATAACTCAGTTTTATTTATTTGTACCCAGAACTCATGTCCAGATTAGTTGGCAGTTGTTTATTTTTGGCTGTCATGCACCGTAGACATTTTTAGCAATTTCTCCTCAGAGGAAGATATATGTTTTCGGTATCTGTGCACAAAGGTAGCCCAACATAAGTGTTGCACTTGATCCACACTTGATCGATATCAGGCGGCAACAATGCAGTCGCTTGCAAATGGAAAGTAAATAGCTGTCAACTCAGCTGATGTGAGCTCTTTCTCAGTGCTAATTCATAAAGCATGTATCCTGCACTGGCACCTGTGCAAATCTTAGATTTTATGACAAACCAGTATGCATAGACTGATTTAATATGGTACTGCATAATTTCTAGTCACTGCCTCTGCCATTCCAGCGCTGCCCAAATCCCTTCCTGTGAGCAAATGGTCATAAGAAGAGCCCAAAGTTGCATCAAGAAACTTTTTAGAATTAATAAGTTATGTCTAAAATTTTGTCTTTTTAAGTTCTCAATGTGTCTTGAAAGTTTAGTCTTATACAGATTATACATCTTTGTTTCTAGCTGAAAGAATAGACTTATGGATCGGACCGGAAATTGAAGGAACTCTCAGTGACTTCAGTGACTTTGCCCATGAATTGAGTTTTGAATTTCTTGGTTATATTCTCTTGAGCGACAACACAAAATCTGACTTTAAATCGAGAGAGTTGAAATCGATTACTGTCCCGTCCTCGCCATATACAAGTTTTGTCAAGCTATCACTTCATCAGAATCATGCAAACAAGTACAATGAATTTAACCAAGTAAGTAGCAAGGAAAACAAAATTTATCTGTGTAGGAAATCATTTAAGATCACCATTTCAAAAAACGATTTGATGGTTGATTGATCACTTGATCATCTCTGGATTTTAAGACATCACTCAAAAATTTCTCAAAATCGCATCTTGGTGTCGCATTCTAGGTATTTATGTGCAAAATTTTACCCAGGAATATTTGAATTAGCTTTAAAAGTATGTCCCAAGTGAACATCGCAAATTGTAAGTCAAGACATGATACCTACTCGAAATGTACTTTCGGCAATGTATCAAAGTGCTTCCTGGTCAAATTTTGTGAACAGATACCTAACATACTACAGCATGATATGATACTTGGAAATTCTTTCTAAATAACGTAAAATCTTGAAATTATAAATTTATCATTTGACTATCGGATCTTTCTCTAAAGTGCTGAAGAACTGCCTTAAGGGAGTTTCTCTCAATCTCAACGGAGACAAAGCGACCATCTTATCAAATTGAAAACAAAGGAGCCAACCCCTCAGTTTAAGGCAAGCTTGTCATGAAGGTGAATGGACTGCTAGAAAAGGTGAAAATTCAAGCATTCTGATGGATAGGTATGTTGCCTCGCCACGATTTCAAAATTGCATAATTTTGTTGCAGACAAATTCAAAATATAAATTTCTTAGTTGATGCCCGTATGAATGGTTAAAACAAATAATGCTGCTAAATCAAATAACGCAGAGTTCTTGGTCAAGGGTTTTGGGTTTAAGAATTTTTTATGCAAAGTTCATTCTTTATTTTCTACCTCTCCTTCGGCCTTTTGGTTTTATTTTTTATTTACTTTTATATTATCCTCATACCTAGGTCAGTATTGTTGCTGTGCAAATACTAGGCGATGAAAAGAAAGGTCTGTTTGAAGTCGATTGCTCCCATGATGAATCAGGAGTCAATATTTCCTCTGCTCCTTCCATCTATGACGATCTGGCTTTTGAGATGTATGTTGATCGAGACATTGCCAACATAATTCGATCTTTAGACGCCCGAAAGCAGGTTGCTGTCCAAGGTAAGCAAAATTTCATTGTGGGACTATAATAGAGACTTTTTGGTCGACATCTATCAATGGTCTACAAAACATTTTCAACCAAAAATCCATCAAATATGAGAGAATTTTCTCATGTCTAAAAATCATTAATAAACCATTTTGAATTGAATAATTAAATAAGTTTTAACACCTGAAAATTAATGGAAAAAAATGATTATGATCTATTGAGGATCATCGAATTAAAGAAAATAAACATTAAATTGATGATCCAAAATTAATAATTGTATGTGCCAATTTTCTGTCTTAGATCAGTTTTTCCACTTTGTACTTAGTTTGTTTTTCTTTTCAGACGAGCGATACGAGTATGCTAGGAAGTTGAAAGTAACCATTGAAGATTTACGAGTGGTTGGAGAGAAGTTGGGCAAACTAGAAATAGCTAAAAAGCAAGCAATTCAAGATGAAGATTATTCTAGGGCAAAACGGAAAAAGTTGCAAATAGAATCTCTCAAGAAGGAAATTCTCGAAAAAGTGAAAGTAGATAATCTTCTTGAAAAGAATGGAGTAAGTATACTTCTAAAATCAATTTCATGAACTGCTTTTTTTGTTTTTAATGTATGAGACTTTTTCATTTAATTTTCATTAAATTTCCATGGACACATCTGACCTCTTTCCATGTCAACCTTTTTTCTCTCATAAGGTACAAAAACATTTTCCTTCAGGATTTACATATTCTTAAAAAATGGGTGTGATTAGAGTAAATCCCTGAACCTGTTTCCTCATACCGTTTTATTCAAATATTCAGCCGTTCTTGCTGCTTTTATAGTTTGGCATTGAACCTCTATGTGCAGGTCTTTCATGCTTGTCATTTGCTTAATTGCTCAGGTTTCAGCTGAGAATGACGAGGAGAGTGATGTTTGCGACAAAGAAGGATCAATATCAAACTCAACAAGTGTAATCGATATGCTCAACTCATCACAGCAATTCAGTGGTCCGCACATGAACGGAAGCTTACTGAATAACCACCAACTTCTGAATAGTTGCGCCCCGTCTCCTCCGCTTGAAGTGAACATCGATGGCAAAGATCGCACCAATCCAGGCATGTACGAGTCTCCTGTCTCGCCTCTCCACGGTGTTTTCGGTGGATCTTCCGACAGTCCCTCCGGGTATGACCAAGTAGAATATGGCTATTTTAGCAGTATTGATCAAAATTAGAGTAACTGTATTCAAGGGTGCAACATTTCCTCTCTCGTAAATTTTTTTAAATTAAAACTGAGGAGCATAGTATTTTTAAACTGCTGATTTTTCCCCAAATCATGTACAGCATTTTTAAAGAATTTCAAGGTACAACAATACCCAATCATTTTTTTTTTTTTTTGTAAATAAATAACAAGAAGAATTTTTGCAACACCCAATGCTGGTAGGCTGATTATGGTTAGTGCCATTGATGGCTCCTGTGTTGCAGTAGTTATAGGAGTTGAAATGTTTTTCAGCTACAGCCTTTAAGGTGGTTTTTATACAGTGGTGTAACTATCACCCCTGCTGCTTTCGTCAAACGGGTGGGCGCAGCAATACGAGGGGTCAAAAATTTAGGAATGGAAAGAAAAAAAGCACAGGGCCTCAGATAGGCGGGAGAGCGCAAAGATTCCTAATTAGGCCTTCGTTTTTACGGTGAACAATGTCTTTAATTTTAAGATAAGGAAGGGAGTTTTATATTCTGAAGACATGGTCTTTTACAGTTTTTTAATGTAAGTAGTTCCTACTGTAGGGTAAACCCAATGACTTTTGCTATAAACCCCAAGTAATATTCACAAGGTTTTTAAAGTTTTTCAGGGAATTTGACCACAATGTGTCAGAAAAATTAGGGCAATGTTAGGGAATCTCATTTTCTAAATTCTGTAGCAACCCTGTAAAATCATCACCATCCTCTTTAGTCCGCAAGAGAAAGGGAGAAGATCGAAAGACCCTTTAAGTTTTTCCATGTATTTATTTTTGGATCAAACCATTTGATTTTGTTGAAATTCTTGTTGATTGTTTGTAGCGGTACACCTCCAGTGAAACCCCGAGCCATTATCGTCCAACCAGTCTCTATAAAAACGGGGTCCTTTCGCCGACGCAACAAATCAGCCGAACCACAAGCTGGTGGCCGAAATAGTTATGAGGCATATGATGAACGCACAGTTCCAGCTCAAAGAAAGTAAGTACCTGTCAGTATCATTTCGTTGTTCTGTAATCCTGACAGCGTAGAGAAGTAATCCATCAATTTTGATCTTGTTAAACTGTGGTAATATTTGTGTTTTGGAAAAAAATGATCATGTTATTTGTGAAGCATTAAGAAGTTCAGAATGACAAAACGAACAGAGGATCATTTTTATTTTTTTGTTTTAAAATTCTGTGTACAAATATCAGAGTCTCAGATCAATCACAAAAAATCAGGAAAAATAATGAAGCACTAAGAACATACTGAGGAACCTCCAAGTGACAATTTATGGGGTACATCCTCCCAGCGAGTATCTTAAACAAGACTTCTCTCCTTTTACACATCAAATTCAATCTAGAAGTAGGTCCCGATTTGACTAGAATCAACCTGACAGCATCACACATTGCTTAATTCCTTCTCATGTTTTATTTTTTCCAAGGAAAACTAAGCAACTTAACTCCTTGAAACTTTTCAAGAATTTCCCTCAGATTATAAAAATTACTATTACATAATTCCAAGATAAGATGTTGCCTAGTTTTCTTGTAAAAACATCCGGTCAAACCTCACTAAGTCAGAACCTGTTTAAGTGGAAAACCCCGCTAACTCAGTAATAACGACTCTGTCCTGTTTTTTCGTTTAGCTAATGTAAAGTCTGTTTAATTTGAAAACCTTACTATGTCGGAATGAACCCTTGGTCCTGACTCTCGATGCATCCCGACTTAGTTAGGTTTGACTGTAAAACACTGGAAGATATTAAATAATGTGTAACATAGTTAGAGTGATACTTCTTAGTTTCGTGTGTCGCAATTGAGACATTCTCTGTCGAAACGGCGTATAAAGGAATTTTAAGTTTTGAGAAAAAAGATGATGAAGTGTTCAAAAGCGCATATTTTTAAAACGTTCTGATTAAAATGAAATATCTGGAACTGTTTGAAGGGGGATAAAGATAAATTCAAATGGGTTTTAGTTTATTTTATGTTTGTCGAAAAAAAGACGAAAAAAATTAATCCCTGTCAAGATCCTCACTGCCTGAGTCACCAGTGGATCAAAGAGATGATCACGGCAGCATCGGCGCGGCACGGCAACAGAGCACACCACTATCAACGCGCCGCGCTACCAAGTTCCTGGACCGCGCGGTAGAGATATACCTAATTTTGCCTCACTCATGTGTAATAACACACATAAACCATACATATTCTTAAAGACAAGATCATGGCGCTTTCAAATCTTCTATCTCCAGAAAAAGTACATATACGGGTGTACGGCGTTTCTACAAAGAATGTATCAATTGTGAGCCGAGTGAGTCACAGGCTTAGACGAGTAGATTTATTTTCTCTATTTTTTTCTGTCTTTAGTATGCATTCAGTGGACACTGCTAGAGAAAATTCAATGGCAGGTGGTAATTTTGGCTTGCACTCGAAACTCAATGAGCGAGAAAAGAAGCAAGCTTCTCTTCCCATCACCGTGTTTGGTTTAAGATTAGTAAGTAATTTACCATCTTTTCTTATTCTTTGTTATACTCAATTTCATGTACATGTATATTTTTTTTAAACAATGAAAAAAGTTTGATCGATTTTTTTATTTAAATGCAATGAAGCGTTAAACCTGAAAACTAAAAATGAATTGCTATTTTGTATTTTTCAGGTAGAGAAATTTTACTCAAAACATTTTTCTGATAAGGAAGAAGGTCTCCGATTATTAGAAGCTCATCTAAAAACTCTAGTCAGGAAGGAGATGAAATTACCCGATAGTCAAGACATCCACTCGCCAAATAAAGTTGCTCGAGCGACCATTTTTCTTCTGCACCGGGCTATAAGAGACAAAGTGTTTGTTGTTTACAATGTTGCAACTGAAGTGATCAGATATTTCTTCAACGAATTTGTCCCAGGCAGGGTAACAACAGGTGAAGTATCACGTAGTATAGAAAAACTTTTACCGGAATTACTGACAAAAAGTGGAGATACAATGCCAAGGATTCACAACATAGCTGTCCACACAATTTTAAGCCTGGCTGATGCTCCGGACATTAAAGCTTTGCACATCATTCCCGTCCATTTAACAAGACCTTTGACTGCTAATACACACCCAAGATTAGCACTGAGCCGCCTTCAGATGGTGGAGCAGCTGATTATCAACCATGGAATATCAAATGAGAAACAGAGTGGTATGACATGTCGAATTTTAGCAGAATTTGGGTCGTCAGGTCTCCATCACCCTGCTGAAGCTGTTCGCAAAGTAGCGGAAAAAGTGCTCATTCATGTGTATCGGCAAAATCCAAGGATAGTTCGTAAGCAGTTACCACCCGATGATGATATCTCTCGGAGAAACATTTTGTATCGCCATCTATTGCAAGAATTCGACATCATTGACAAAGAGGTGAGAGCTAACAATGTTTATTTTTCTCCTCTTTTTTTTTGTAAAAACAGTTGAAAATAGCAATAAATCACCCATTAATTATGAATTGTCTCTGTTAAGTTTTTCATGAGTACAGGAGGATTAGTGATGGAATAAAATAAAAAAACACATTTTAAAAATGTGTCGGGTAATTAGTCTCATGCAATCACAGTTGGATTTTACGTATCAGAAGAATAATACTCAGCTCTGAACAACATCCATATGAGAATATTTTCCTTGGATAATATGGATTTCCAGAGAAGTAAGTTTGTACTGTCCAATTTTGAATGAACGAGAGCCGTTATGAAGCATTTCTCAGAATAGAGAAAGAGGTGTTGACATTATATTATAGCCATCGGCGCTTGATTCTGTGAAATAGAAATGTGTATTATAGAGGGAAAAATGCATCAAGAATAAAATTCCTGTTTCCATGTAAATATAGTGAATTTTCCTAATTTTCCATTTGATAAATATGTTTTTTCAAGTGTTATGGCACCCCCTGTTCTTCAGTGAACAGTGCACAGTGGGCTCACTTCCCATTAGAAAGGCCCAACAAAAGTGGAGGTTTTAAAACTCAGCAGTTGGGATTTTTAATTTCTGAGTTTAATGATAGTTGAGTATCTTTATCCACGAATTAGTCTCCTTGTTAAAATTACTGATTCGATGACCATCGAATTGACCATGGTCTTCTTTTTTGGTATTTTTACAGAATAAAGGTGAGCCAACAAAGGACTGTAGCAACAAAATGGTACGATCAAATAGTGAAAGTGTCGCCAATTCATTAATGCATTCACCACCCATTCGCCAGTCTTCCAGCACATCATCAACGCTTGAGAAAAAAACGCCAGTCTTGCCAGCGCACATGCACATGAATGCATCCCATCCGTCCAAGAATCTCTTAATTACTTGTAGTAGTTCCTCATCCTCGACTGGAAATTTAACTCCAACTTGTGAATCTGACAAGTACGTTTCATACAATACTTAACATTAAAATTAAACCTTTTCTTCTTCCAAATTAAGGTGAACCACCGCAACTTAACTTCAATTAAAAGTGTCAAGTTCACAACCATCTTATAAAAATAAAGTAAAATGAATTAATTTCTGAATGAAAAAGTTCAAGTTCACACATCCATCCAACATATTGTAGTCATGTAAATCCAGATCAGGGGTAATCGAACAAATCCTCGGCAAAAAGTTTCGATGATCAGCTTTGATGGCCACCATCAAGCCAAAAAATTTTGTAAAGCATAGACAAGTGTATTCAGAACTAATTGAACAAAAGCGGAAATGACATGCATGGTTTTAGCTGGCTATAGTAAAAAATGAATCAGTACTTTCAAAAAAAGGGGGAAGTCCAATTTTCCAAAATTGGTTTTTTTTTGCAATTTTTATGCTCTTTTTACGTGACATTTGCGTTCCTGTGCGTCTATCACTTGCGCTCCGAGAAGCGGACTACAGCTGCTTTTTCGAATAGGTAATATGATAAGAACAAACAGAGGGTTCAAGAATGTAAAAAAAAAGATTTTGAAAAATGGAATTCTGTCCTTTTTTTAAGTACTGATTCAAATTCGATGACTGGTAGTGTAGGTTCCTCAAATCCTTTTTCACTTAATCAGCTAGGAATGCATCATTTTTGATTAAAAACTTTATGATTCTAAGTTACTAGATGAAAGAAATTGCAATGACTATGCAGAGCTTTAATAAGCTTGGTTTTTTTAAAGCCGATAGGTTTGCATCCCTGATGTTAAACTATCTATATGTAGGTATAACATGTACTCAAATTTTTTTGGAAGGGCACCAAAGCAGGTTATCTTCGCCAAAAAGAGACATTATTTATCCTCCAGTGGAAGAAGTGAGCATATTTTTTTTCCATTTATGCTTACTTAGTAAATTTTCTCCTAATTTAGCTCAAGAGTGTCTTTAAATTTTATTTTAAGGAAGTTAGACTAGTTCACCTGTCAACTCTAAATTGAGATGTTGGGTGCAGAAAGGGCATTTCTTGGTTGCGGTGTCGAAAAATCTTCATTGCTAATTCATACTTGAGAGAGGACTCTATTCAATGAATTTTCCGAAATTTTTTGTTTTCATCATTGTAAAATCATGAAGAAAATTCAGTAAAAGTTTGAACGAATTCATCATAGTGGATGGAAACGTTAACAGAGATCCTGAGACATCGCAACTTATCCCGTCTGCACCAGCGCCTCGATTCTGATGAAATTTCAGCGCTGAGACTGAAAATGACCTCATTCTCTCCGTATCCATCAATTTTTCGGCAAATCGAATTTTCCACCAAAAAATGTCATTTCTATGTGCCAAAAACGTGTTTTTGGATAAATCAAATTTGGAAAAAGTTTTCCATTCATCGTTTGATTGAAGCAGGCTATTTTTCATAAAATCTCTTAAACTGTTTGAAAGCTCCAGTTAACAACGCGTGGATGCAATCAGTATTCATCAGATATCAGATTCTGAGACACCACAACCAAGATTTGCCCTTTTTGCACCCAGCTCTTTAATGTCATTCCCTGATTTCATGTTATCAATCATAATTTATTTGTGTTTCCAGGCAGTGTATATTCTGTCTAACTATATCTGACTCCTTCTCTGAAGAGGGTTTAAACATCCACTACTGGCGTTACTGTCCAATGCTCACCCGTTGCCACCATTGCCAAGAAGTTGTCGAACTTTCTGGCCTATATAATCATCTATCAGGTAACTATTTTATTTTATTATCAATTTGAAATCCGTATTTTTCTCTCTTGAGCTTGTGTTAACTTTGTGTACATTGTCTGCCTATATACACAGCACCTAATAAAAGGCTAAAAGGTTTCTTCAGAAACAGAAAATTTGCTGGAAACCCTTCTTTCAAGGATAACTTTTTAATTTTGTAAAATGTAGTTTTATAAAAAAATGTCTTCTCTTGTTTTCAGAGGAGTGTGACTTTAGGACGCTGTACATCAAGTGTAAAAAATGCAATGAACCCATTCTTGCCAAACAATTTGACTTACACAGAAAATCTTCTTCTTGCATCGGTAAGAGTCACACGGCCTTTTTGAAACATTCTACTCCTCACTTTAACACTGCTCTACGGAGCTAGCTCACTGTGAATACATTCTAAATTTTGCAAATTTTCCTCAAATCAAGTGCTGAATTACATGAAAACCTGATTATCCTAAAGTTTCATTTTTTTCACTGTAAGCTCTCATTGATTATAATGGTTTTGATCAAGTTATCCCAGAACGATATCTAGTTTTCTGGTAATGGAGCATTTTGTCGAGGAATAAATTGAAAAAACCAGACTGGAGTAACAAAGTTTTTGCTCTGGGTGGCAGAAGTTGGAGAAAGATTAAAGCATGAACTATTCTTCATTCTTTCTTCTAATTTCTGTCTCAAGATTCCCTATTAGCCGACCATAATCCCTGGAATATACTTGCAACAAAGAAGTAAATCTTTCTCATCGGAATCTCAAAAATTTTTCCAACCCAGCACTCTTACCTAATAAGAATCCATGCAAGTTAACTAAAAGGTTAGATGTAAGAAGTGGTAAAGAATCCATCTTTTTAATAATTTTCTGAGAGATACCTAAACAGAAAAATTTTAAGAAATATCAATTGCTTTCCTCCCCTATCAATTCAAGTTCTTTTATTTTGAGTGAATGTTGATTGCACTCTGATGCACTCAACAATACCATCAGTACTGTCATTGTGATGCTGTCTTGTGCAAGTTATAGACACTCGGTTCGAACTTACTTGAAATTGTATCCTTTTTTCTATTTTTGTGAATAAAATATTTGCGATGCTGTAGCCTTGAAAATTGTCAAAATGACGTAAGTCTCAGCTGAGCTACTCTCAATCTAGAATATAAACGTAAGTTCTATGTGAAGCAGAGTTTTACCTTTCCTCCTTTGAGAGTACAAGTGACAAGATGATGTTGCTTCTGTTTCTAGCTTTAGATGGCGTAGCAAAGTGTCCACTCTGTAAAGAGTTGCTCGCATCCGGGGAAGACTCGTGGCGCACTCATTACACTGGCTCTCAACCATGTCTCAAAAATCCTCGGCTTCCATTGAACATTAATTTTTAAACTAAGAACATCAAGTAATTAGGTTCAGTAGTCAGTGCATTTTATGTGAACGTTGGTTAAAATTCCTTAAGTCGAGGGACCTAGAAAATCAATCCCTTGCCTTTAACGGTAAACTTCAGATGAGGTGTATTCCTTTATTCAACCAGTGAAATTTGAACCTTCATATGAATTAGAAAGAGACTTCATATTTTCTAGTGCAATTGGGTGCTGAATAAAATCTGTTAATTTTGAAAATTTTGTTCTGTAAGCCTCCATTATGGATCTTTCCAAGCAACAGTGTAGGCAAAGATGGGGCCCAAAAGCGAGTTTTCTGCACTTAATATAAGTTAACAACAAAGATACGACAGCCTTTCTAAATCATTATGAAACGAATATTTTTAATTTATGTTAGACCTTACATGAATGATTTATTTTGAAAAGGGCCTGACTTAATGAAAGGAGATTTTTTTTTATGGGAAAAAAAACGAATTCAGCAGACAGTATTTTTGGCGAATGTTATGTTGTTCCCATACAGAGTCCTACAGCCAAAAATATGAAACTTTCTAGTCCTTTCGTATTGTAAAATGATCGTTTTTTGGCTGAAACCTTGGAATTTTGCCTTTCTTTTCTGTGTAAAATGGAAAAGAAAAAAAGAAAAAAATCGCCAAACTACATCCCAAAGAACCTGTTATCCGAAAGAAAACAAGTTTGGTCCTTTTTGAAATGAACGATTCACACATTTCACTAGGAGTACTTAAACTGTTATTCTACTCACTTACGGCCAACCCAAAAATCCCACTAATTTACTTGAACACTCTAATTAAATTACCTAAGCTTATTGTACAATGAAGCTATCACAAATTTTTGCTCAAGCTTAGAGGAGAGTTTTTTCAATGTCAGAAGTATATTTAAGCACCAATGAATTAACCAACAAAATTCATCCCCTGAGATATAACAATCCTTGAATTACGTTTTTGGATAACTTCCCTGTTTTTTCGAGTCTAGTATTTTGAAAGTGGACAACTCCTACAGCTCATTTCTACAGCTAACTCAAAAGCTTCAAATATTGAGTTATGAAGTTTGGTAGTTTAATAGAAATTGATGTTTCACAACAGAGCGCTTCAAAATGCTCTTATGTCCTGAATGCATTGTGAAATGAGGCCTCATCAACATCGATCATTGCCAACGTTCTCAACAGGCAATTTGAGGAACTTCTCTCCTTTGAGCTCTTGAAAAAATTTGCAACTCCTGTATTGCTTATCACCGATGTCCATTTTACATTTTTTTAATATAGATCGAAGGAGAATTAAGTAGAAGAAGAATGTTTCTGTCGATGGGGTTTTTTGTTATGTTTCTTTGTTACTTTTACCTACTTTGCCAAATTATTTTTTACAATTATATGTACTTCTTTAATGCTTTAGAATGTTGTCTTTAGGATTTCCTTCACAAACCACCCATAAGTTTTGAATTTAACACGTTGCCTGCCTTAGTGTTTTGGGTGCATTTTTCTCCTGACACTCCAGCACTTTCGTCGGCCCATAAACCAAACAAAAAAAGAAGTTTAGTGGTGCATTCTCTTGCTAGAGCCACGCTGATCTTGAGCCATCGCCAATCGTAAGCCATGACCATATACACAGATTCGACAACTTCTGGTCTCACAGGAACCTAAAAAGACGAGCAACTGCACTCCGGTCAAACTGTTTGTTAGGACTCTCAGAACTCTTCAACACTGGTCAATAAAAGACTAGTAATAGGCAATAGGAAACGTGTTTGATAAGTCGTGGAGGTATGATAGTTTTTGTGCAGCCTCATTGAGCAGTAGATTTTAAGTGTCTTTAGATTCCAAATAGTCGGTTGCTCTTTTGAAAAAATCTTTTTTGAATGTTAGCAGATTATAAATTACCAAAAAATATTATGGGCTGTCCAGAGACCAGTAGAATAATTGACAGGTCCTCGTATTTTTTGTATTAATGCGAACACTTTGTCGACCTTCTCCCGATTTTTGCAGTAGGGATGTTCGTCAACAAACTCGGGTTAAAACCCAGCTTCTAGTAGGTGCAGCAAAGTCTGCTGCAAAAGGGACTTATAAACTCTTTAATTGTAAAAGACTTATAAAATTTATAATGCCTAACGTGCATAATAAACGGTAATTGGTTCGAGACGTTTGAAATATGTGAGTGCTATAAGACTCTATCTATCTCTAAAATTATTTTCATTAATCCATTGCCATGCTATTAGATCAAGAGGGCATTTTGTCGAATTATTACAGAAATGACTCCGTACTTTTCGGCTGATAAGTTTTTTAATCTCTATTTGTTTATATTATCTCATTCAGTCTCCTTTTCCTTTGCAAAAGTTTCGTTTTTAATGTTTTCTGTCTCATAAGACCTGAGGGGTAATCCTTCTCACCCTCTCAAAGTCTCAAAGTCTCACAGAGACATTAAAATAACGTTGAATGGATAATATTCGACGGAATAAATAGTAATAGTGAATGAAAGAAACAACAGAGGAGAAAAAAGAAAACCTTGGCGTACAGTTTCATGAAATAAAAAATTATTATTTTTAATAATAAATTTTTAACGTCAGAATGCATTAAATGCAGTCAGACAGATAACATCAGAAGACGAGTAGACCATTATTTTGTAAGTACTTACAATCTTATGAGAATTAAGATTCAACAAGTTTCAACAAGTATATTCAAGAATAAATCTGAAAATTATTTAATACATGAAGACAACATCAATTTACTTACAGAGGAAAAAATAAAACAGAATTTGTGGGTGGTTAATAATAACATATTTATAGAAGATCGACTCAGCAGTACACCAAATGTACAATAAGCCCACTGAGAGAAGGATATTTCCACTCTTAGAGGTAAAGGAATACTCAGAAGTCCCAATTAGATGAAAATAGGCAACACCAATACTTGTCACAATAAGAAGTTCTCAAAAATTATTTCCTATAATGCTGTCATTTAGGAGCAAACATCAGGAGTCATTTAGGGCTGTCAAACTCGGACAGATAATGGACATCCTTTGTTTAAGGTAACACATTTCAGAAAAATGGGCCACAAGGTATCACAATGCAATATATTTTCTCTCCAAAATTTCATGAGGAAAACGTAACACAACAGGAAGTCTGGAGGTCAACTCCTAAACAAGGTAGAAGTGTTTACACTTAACATTGGTTAAATGGCAGAAATGCAAAAGACGTCATTTGTATAATTCAACTTCCATTTGATCTATGTAAAAAGATCTCATTCATATCTTGTTTAGGAGATGATTTCCCAACTCCCCGTCGCTTAAATTGCTTTCTAAATGAGATTTTGAAGAGGATACATGTGACATTTTTTTCTAGGTGGGACCTTATCCAGTGGCCCATCGTTTCTTTCTTTCAAGAAGCAAACAGCGAGAGAGAGCAGTCGAGAAAAGAAGAGGTTAAAACCTCAAAACAATGTCAGGGGTCCGCTTGGTGCAAGTTTCAATGTCATGGATTGATGCGAATCAAAATATTACCTTAGTGTTAGCCAATGAGCAACTAAGAAGCCCTGCTCACTAACGATCCATAACAATTGAACAAAATAGGAATAATCTTAACTGTTGCGAAACAGTTACAATTGTACACCGAAAAAAATACGACCATACATGATACTTCGGTGGAACAGTTTGTGATGCAACTAATGAGCCTATGCACAAAGTATGATTTGGAGAATTTTTCTTCCAATTTAAAATTCCACCGAAGAAAGGGTTCTTGGAGTTTGAAAAAGGAAATTAACTCCTCAATGAAGATATCGGTGTTCACATTTAAACTAGTCAATGAAATTTTAAACTTGAAATAAGTGCAAACTGTCTTGTTATTTGATGGACAATTGATCAATTTTGAACCTTGACATCTTGATTATGGTGAGGCATTTTATAAACCATTGATTTCGTGCGTCATCTTCTACAAGAAATTTTGGGGTAAAGATTTAACAAGGCCTAGGGTTGTATTCATAACCACTCCTTATGTGGTAAGGCTTTCTTGAGCCATAAGATCTACATTAGTTAAGATCTTTACGTTTAAGGAACGACTATGAATACCACCTTTGATTTCAGACGTTGCCTACTTGCTTCTATTGGTAGTCAAAGATAGCTTCATCTGAGATAGAAGATAAGGATGGTTTTGGAGCTAGATTTCCTTTCACAATAGGCATTTACTAATTTCACACATGCAGGACCGTTCAAAATGTCTCTTGAAAAATTGCAAAGCAGAATAATCCTCACTTACTGGATGCTCCTAAAAGACTGTGTTGTTTATTGAGACACGCAGTCTGATCTGTAGGTAAAAAAGTGATCTTCAATAAGAATTAATATCATACAAATTATGTAAAAGTAATTTTAATGAGTTACCGCAATTTACAGAATAAATAACACGAGGCGAAGGAACAAACAATTGTTTGCTGACCTAAGTCAAGAAAGGGAACAGTTAAGATTGGCAAATTTTACAAGGAGTGAATTGGCTGAGTCTTAGCACTTAGCGAAACACTTTTAAGAAATCAGTCTGCACGTCTACAACGCTGCTTTAAATTGTTCAGTGTAATACATTACAATTTGATACTTCATTCATACTTCCTGAAATATCCAAGGTAGAATTAACAAATGAATGAATAAATAAATAAATAAACAAATAAATAATGAACAGATGAATACATGAAGGAGTAAATATACAAATTTCAAATGCAATAACTGTGAAACAACAAGTTTTAGCGAAATGATGGAACTGAACTGATTGACTTACTTGATTGAAAATAAAATTTCTGACATCAGTATAAGACTTAGCATAGGTGTATAGCAGTAATGAGTGTAAAGTATGTCCAATTAGAGCTACAATTACCTGGGGAAATAGATTTTTATTGATTAACGTCTTTTTGGAGAATATTTTGGATTTCAGCAAGGTGAAGAGAAAAGGAGGAAAAAAGATGTTGAAAATAAATTTCATTAGTTTTGTACAATCAATACTGATCATTCGCTAAAACTTGTCCAAAATAATAAACAGATATAATCAATATTGAAAAATTTATCACAGACGATAAAATCAGTTGAATTCGATTTAAATTCATACTTCCAACTAAAACAAGAGACAGATTCATCTTTCTCCTTATTTTGTTGCTCCTCTGTTATGTCGCTCCTCGCGTACCTCGATTTCCTTGTGAGCCCTGTTCCCCATATAACTGTATGGTTTTAGGGCTCAAGAGGGAATAGAGATACACCCGTATCCCAGAGGAACGACGATTTGGTCCACGTAAAGAATGCACCAAATTTTACTGTGGAAACCCCAGTTTTATGATAATTTTTGCTGGTTGGTCGGAGACACTAAGATATCAGACTCCATCATTTTTCCTATATCAATGATGAAACTTTCATGTCAAAAGGAGTGGATTTTAGAAGAAATACATGATACGTAACACCTATAGTAACTGAGTCTACCCTCATAGAACCTTTCAATAAACTCAAAGGAGTAAAGGTTGGATTTCAATTTCGATCTCGGTCAAAGTTTGCTTAGGAGTATTTTGCTGGTGGTATTTCTGTCAGGTGACTTGCATCACTCATCAGGACATTTCTGTCATGCAGCGGACTGATCAACTTGAGACCAGACTAGTCGCTTGATTGATTCATTGGGTCATTTTCAATGTGTGACTTTCAGAGGCGAATTTCCGCGAGTGGATTACGTTTACGTCGAAGTCTAATTAACAGAACTGCCGACTGACAAAGAAAAACACCCGCTAGAAGTCAAGAACTTAACTCTGCAGTTTGGTGAATGGTAGCCAACGTTTGCATCTATTCCCTTCTCCGTCCATCTCGGGAGGTGAGTCAAGAATTTTGGATGTGGTCGTCTTTGATGCAAATACGAAGACTGAATGTTGTAGGTGAACCGTTCCTCCGAGGAAAATTAGTTTTGTTGTGACTGAGGTTGCCGGTAAGTCAGAAAGTTGACCGAATCCACTCCCAGAAATTCGTCTCATTAACACATTGTAAATTTAAAATACCTCAATGTACAAAATTATTTAATCAGCTAGATGATAAAAGAAAAGTAAACTTAAAGTAAAAAGTCTTTCATTTATTTGTTACGAACTATTGCTGAGAGAAAAGTTATGAGAGCCTTGAAAATACTTTGTCATAGATGGTTTTACTCCCGGAGGGAAAAGTAAGATAGTTGCATTGTTGTCAGCATAATTCAGACAGAGAGTATTATGACCGCAGCTATTAACTTTCAAGATAGTTATCATTGTATCGATATACAGAGAATTATAAAATCATTGTGTTCTCACTAAACCAATGATCTTATTTTCAGAAATGTTTAAAACTACTAAGGTGAGATAAGTCTTGCAGTAAGAGGTGAGTTCATGATGATGTGAGCATATTTTCTTCTTCCTTTTGTTTTTGAGGTCACACTGCTAAATAGAAGCTTAAGGTTGTGTAAAACAATGATAAATGACTAATTCTTTCAGGTGAGATTGTTACTTCTAAAATTATTTTTTGATATTTTCCTTGAATTGAAAGTTGATTTAAGATCAGCAAATTTTGGAGCTGGAAAAAGAAACAGAAAACAATTCACGCATAACCAACTTAACGCAAACATACTAAACGTTTTTACCACAAAATTATTAATTTTTAAGGGAAATGTAATTTTATTACTGCACAGATGTTTAATAAATGTTAAACCAAGAATAAGTTGCTGGATTTTGAAAACACTGTAATTACATTTATGCTTTTTTGCTACATGCGAACCATTTATCATTTCATTCAAAAGTTAGAGACTCCTCAAGTTCAAAAAGAATTTTTTAAGAGGATTTTTCCTTTCTAGACTTGAAAAGAAATACTTTGATGTAAAAGAATAGCAAAATCTGTAAGAAAAAGGTGACAGCGAATCCTTAAAAGTAAAACTCCCTGGAGAGAACAGGTATCACATTGTGCAAGAAGGGATTGGAAAAACAAAAGAACAGAACATCTGTTCAGTTGGAGCTGGCTATTTAAATGAACTAACTACTCTTTTTCTTATGATTGCATAAAAAATAATCTTACTGGTATATGTGTGCACCATGTTTCAAGTTTCAAAAGTGTTTTTAAATTTTTTTGCTAATAAAGAAAAATTAGTGTTGAGGGGAGTCAATATCAGAAGTAAGAGACAAATAAAATAAAGAGTCAATAAGTAGACCAAATTAATTACCAAGGCAGCAAGTTTTTTCCATGTGCGTTCAAAAATTAGTAATGGAAAACAAAAAAATAGAAGAGCTTAAGAACTTAATTGAGAGCTTAGTTTTGCTTATTCCCAATGGACCACTAAACAAGGAATCAATTGAAGCGCTATGCAACTTATTTTCTCATAAATATTTCTCGAGGAAAACAAAGCCTAAGCCTGGAGGTCAACTCCTGGACAAGATATAAAAGTGTTTACGCTTAATAATGGCTGAATGCCGAAAATACAAATGGTGTAAATTACAGGATTCTAAATTCTTTCACAAATATTCTGTGCGCAAAAGTCGCTGGTAAGTGAAATGATCATGAAATTTTCTCTCTAATTTTTCAAACCTAATTTTTGTTCAAAGTGCAAAATACACTTGAAACACCCAATCGGTATTTTGACCTTGAGTAGGTACATATAACATATTCTTAAATTTACATCATTTGTAAAATTCAAATTCCATTTTATCTTTGTTAAAAATAATTTTTTACATCTTGTTTAAGAGAGATTTTTGAACTTCTTGTTGTATGGACCATTTTCTGCGCAAGGCTTATAGAAAGGAAACATTTGAGGTTTTTTTCTAGTTAAGAACTTGTCTAGTGGCCCACTGTTGCTGAAATTATCGAAGCATATGGACATCCATATGACACTTTGCTAAAGATATTCAGATAATACAAAAACTGATTACTTTTCTTCATACATACATTCAGTAGTTGAAAAGAGATACACTTCTTTTTTTACTTTAAAAAAAAAAAAAAATTACATATCTTAAAGGAGATAAACGTGTAAAATTATGCAAAACTTTGAATGGAACACTTGTATTACTCGTAAGAGAAGATCTCCTTTAGAATGCACAAAGTAATATAGGGTTTGCATTTTACACACGGAAATCATTTAAAATGTGTGAGCTTCTTTTCTCATTATGTTCAGAAAAAATCTATTTTACACAAAATACAGCTCCGTATGGCTTGTTACCTCCTTGTAATAATACTGGTTCTGTAACTTTTGTGCTGTAACGCACTTTCATTCACAGTGAAAGGTTCCTAGTTTTCATCTTAGAACTTTTATAGTGATGGAGTTTTCAATAATTTATCAGAAACACTGAATACAAAAATTTGCGGCACATTTACTCCCCTGAACGCAAGCTCTGACGGAAGTCTGATGAAGCTCTAAACAAGATGAAGGCATTGCATCTATTACAGAGGATCCTAATTTAAACACACACACCCCCCTCCCCCCACTCCGATGCTATAGCCCAACAGATAAACCATCTCACTTTCTGAGAGCCGTTCAAAATTTTATTTAACAAACCAATTTGAAAACCGAACTTTAACATTTTTTAGAACCACCTAACTGGTGGCAGGTGGATTGAAAAATATTTTTAACAAATTTAATTAATTATGCCAAACTTTTTAGAAGTAATAGGAAGAGTTGTAAAAATTTAGAATTTAATACAGAGAGCTCAAACTCTTGACGAATGTCATGCCTAATTTCAGATTAAGTATGCACGTGAAAAGTCCCGTTAATTTGGCTGGATAGCTTGACTCTGAAGTTCATAACTTTGAGACAAAATTTACTTAATCACTTCCAGCAGAGAGCTAAAAGTTTACATAGTTTCTATTTCCAGCAATTCTGAAAGCTGATAAGAAGAGTAAAGACAAATCAAAAATATTAGTATACAAGACTGCAAAATTTTGAATTGCATAAGTTTCAAAATTTAAATGCACATATAAGTTTGGTAAGATTTAAGGAATAAGAAATGATGATAAAAGAAAAAAAAATATTTTAAGGATTAGTGTTGTTTCGGAGAAAAAAAAACAACAAAAAGAACAACAACAACAACACCATTTGAAATACTTGAAGGGGAGACTTTCAGCAAGCTGTGATGAATTGAATTACTTCCTGTAATTCATTTCCAATCATTATCGATCACTCAGCAATCAATAGAAATATTGTCGACAAGATTTCTCATCCAGTGGGAAATTGTTAGTTTAAAACACTTACTTTTACTTATTTTATAAAAATACAGATAGGCAGTACTTTATTGAAGTTGGTGAAATTGCTTTTTTATAATTGTTGACATACTACCTGATTGGATGAAAAATCTCAACGACAATAGTCACAAAATTTCATGGTTTATGAGTCTTGGTATCTTTTGCGCAGAATGATGTACTTCTTCTGGGATACGCTGATCGTACAACAAAACATCTCATTTAAATAAGTTTTGAGGTCATTCATCAAACCTTTTTGTCCGATTAACTATTTGTAATCTGATCTGGATTTAGGTTTGATCATTTTTCTCCGAGGTGCTCCCTGAAAGATAATCTCCTACACACACTGTGGACAGACCAACAGTACATTTACAGAGCAACAATGAAGCATAAGTATTCTAGAAAAATAAAAAATTAATTTCAACAGACTAATCTTGGGGACCTAATTAAATGCATAAAAACTCAAAGAGGTCTGAAATGACTTGATGAGGTTCAACCAAGCTGACATGCTCTTACCACTTGAAACAACAGTGAACATATGAGAGAGCTTATTTTACTTCTTTCACAGAGTCCAAGTCATGTTCAATGACGTAAATATTCACATTCTTTCCTGTCAAATTATTCTGACAGGAGGGTGCCACGTACTAACTATCCCGATTTGGGTGTTTTGATAGGCATCTTCGGGGCCAGGGTAGTGGCCAGTCATACTGTCGTGGGACTGGCGCCCCGATGTTGCATTCGAAAAATAGGAATAGTCTAAACCACCATACTTTTGATAAGTGATTCCTTGAAGAGCTTTGCTGCAATAGAGAAAAAAAATTAATGCATCAGTACGGGTAGAGAAGTTTTTTTTTTATTTGTTTTTTTTACAAGAACGCTACATAAAAAAGAAGAAATGTATGATTTATGAATTTTGCAATATTAGACTACATCAATTAAGGCCTTGACTGCAGTAAGGGCACTTCTATGGAGTTGCCCTTTTCGCATAAATCGGGTCTACCGTCATCGAAAGTAAAACACACTGGAATATCAAAACAGTCTTCGCAAAACTGTGCATATCACAAAAATTGATACTTTGCAAATAAAGCAGTCAATGCCTACAAAGTCTCCTTCAAAAACTAAAATGATTTTTAAAATTGATCGTGTCTGAGGTATTGCATTTAGAAGTTCAAAAAAATCATAAACTGAGTGTTTTGCTGAAGATTAGGATTTTCAAAATACAATGAGCGGAAAATATTGCTGAAGAGTTCTTTAACCAGTGATGAATCATTTTCTTTCAACTGATGGCTAGCAGAACTGCTAATTCGGCCAAAATATTTTCAAAACATTGATCTTCGCTAATACCTACTAAATATTTATTATAAATCCTGGGACTTGATACAGAAGCAATAGCTACAGGAAAAAAGAAAAAAATTAATGGAAAAATAAAGATATTAAAAAATTCTTTAATTTTTTACTTACTTTGAGAAATGAATGATTTGCTAATGTATGGTAAGTCCAAAACAGCCAAGTGGTGACAAAATAGGCAATTATCACATCAACTGTGTAATGACCATGAGCAACGAGCACCATTATGATACCGATGAGAGACATACAGAAAGAAGTCCAGTGTAAAACTATGAACTTCTTAGGAGAATCTGAAAAAATATATTTACAACTTGTTATTTAAACATTTTAATGTTAACATATTTTGCATTCCAAAAAGTTAAAATATTGCTCCAGGAATGTATACCCTTTCTTTCCTCCTTATAATTTAGAGGCAAAGAATTCTACATTAATTAAACATAATAATTCCAAAATTCATGTTGAGCACTTAGAGAAAGTAGACATTTTGAATCGTTTAGAGTTCAATTATTCTACGTTCTCAAACCGCTAAACTTGGTAAGGTGATGTCACTTCAATTCAGTTTGAGCCGAGACCAAATCTTAAGGGTAAAGAGGAAAAATCAGAAAAATATCTCAAGGCGGAGTCAATTCATTAAAAATCTTCTAAGTGAATGTACATGTTTAAGTTTAAAAAGAATGGACCACTAGATGAGGTACGAACTTAAGCATTATGATATAAGGTTTCTCACCAAAATTTCACTTAGAACACAATGTTTACAACAGAAAGTATTGAACGTAATGCCTAATTAAGATATTAACATTTTTCCATGCAGAAATTCAAACCTCCCATTCATGAAAAAACAAATTTCTACGAGATTCAAATCACACACTGAATGTTGCCGTGACAGTCTCAGCAGTAGGAAAATGTGGCAACTTCAATTTTGTTGCTTCGGCTCAGCTAATGCATGATACAAAACAACGTATTCGAAGAATTGCAAGGCTTTGAACACTCAATTGAGAATGCTGAGGGGTGTCAAAGTTCTGGCAGACAAGAAAGGCTGACTTTTGTACATTCATAACACTTTGAACAACACAAGGCAGAGAAGGAATATTGCTCGATTAAGAAGTCCGCCAAAACTGCAGTAGTGTGCGATTTGATTCAAGTAGACTATTGTTTCCCTTGTTAACGGGGACTTTAAATTTCTCGTAACCGATGTAAACTAAAAATGTTAATATTTTAGTCAAGCGCTGATAATTTTTGTTTGGTGAATCAAGTTCTGCTGAAGTAGACACATTTATCAGAATAGAAACTTTTGTAGGGGACAGTCACAAGACAATATTGTAAAAAAGAGATGAAATTTCGCGTACTCACTTGTGCTATTTAAAAACATCACTGGTCAGAAAAATATGAAACAGCAAGCAAACCCATTTTAAAGAGAGAGATAAACAACCAAAAAGAACTAGATGTGTGGGAAAACATATATATGTATTCACAGTACAAACAACTTCAACACAGACTTGGCAGGCACAAGTAACATCCTATTTAAATTCATTGAAACATGGCAATGGAGCACCAGCGCATGGATCAGGAAAGGAAAACAAAACGTTAGTTTGCTGCCGGCTGATGATGGGGCCATCTCGACCCCGAAATGCGTCCCATTAAATTGTTAAATAGCGCAAGAGAGTACGCAAAATTTTATCTCTTTTCTACAATGTATCAGAATGCTTATATTTGCACCTTGTCTATTATTCCATGGAGAGACCTTAGTATGAATTATGATGGGAATGTTAGACTGTACTGATTAAAGTGGATACATTATACATAATTTTGTAAAGTTTTTCTCTAAGTGATAAGGGGGTTGAAACAGAAATTTGAAAAAAATGCCGAAAAGTGACCGTCAATGAAAATCAAGATCACCATATTCCATCCATCCATCCAATCTCAGTTTCTAACAAAAGATCGAAAAATTGAAAATAACATTCATTAAAAAAAAAACTCTTGAAAAAGACGGACGGTGAAGATGACTCACATTCAGCAACAGTAAGGTAGCTTATAACGAGAATAGTTGTGTGGCCGCTGTAGATATAGTCACCACAATACGTGTGCTTTCCGTTGATGGAGAGCCCGAAGCCAGAGAATAGCTGGATGACTCTCTTGGCAATAAGAATGGTGTCTGTTTCATTTGATTTTGGTGAGCATGTGTAAGTAGTGCTAGCTACAGGCATCACTGTCACATACATAGTCACTGATCGCATGAAATACAGTAATGCTAACAACAGGAACAGTCTACGCATTACTATAAACCTGGAAAAATAATAAAGAATATACAATTATTATGCATGGAAGATGAAAATTTAAAGAAAGTGAGATGATTTAAATTGAGGTTGTCTACTCTATAAATGCGCACCAAACTTGTAAGATTACTTTTTAGTTTTATTTTTGTTATTTACTTGACAGTCAAATCTTTCAAAGGAAGAGATCGTAATTGAATCCGTCATTCTCAAAAAGATGAAAGCTTCAGAAATGGAAATACAAGAAAAAGAGTAAAACTGTATTAATCAACACGTTTTAAATCTAAGATTAAGCAGTGATGCAATTAATCAATTGAATTCGTAAATATTTTTGAGCTATGAAATTTAGAACAGACTGATTTGAACTTGGTTTCTTCTTCTTCTTTTTGTATTTTCATTTCTGGCGTTTAGTGTTTTAGAGAATGACCAATTCAATCAAGGAAATTAAGACGAAATTTGGAATCTTAATATCTTAGTAAGAAGATGAAATTATTGCAAAGTTATTTGCATTAATTAATAATTTCAATTGAATAAGGGAGAGGTTCTTACTTCCCGAACTTCATCTTGTACTTTTGAGCCATTTTATGCACTGATAATACTGCCGAATGATAAGTGAGGTATAGCTATGTGTAACGTAAAAGAAAAACACATTTCTGCACGCTAAATTTTGAAATTTGCTACGCATAGGAGACAAAAAATTATTTATTTATCTACGGGGTGACCAGTTTTCTTGGATTTTGAAATTCTCTGACTTTCATTGGACTTATCAGCGTTTTTTAGCATAAAATTCCCTACCTTTTCCATTACTTTTTGATGTTTTTAAGGCATATTTTTTATGTTCTTCACAGAAAAATTTAGTGTAAAGAAAAAATGAAAACCTAAAATCGAGAACTAACAGCAGAAGTTCTAATTTTAACTGATAAAGCCAGGGGGTGCAGTTGGTAATAATTACATTTTTCGGCCAGAGGTCAGAATTTTAAGGCTCCTCAGCAAAATTCCCTGAGTTTTCAAGATCTTGTCACCCTAAATAATAATGCATTTGTCTTATAAAATGTTAAGGTATCTATCAGCTGAAAACAGCATTGAAAATGTATGACTTACCTATGCTTGTGAAAAAGTACGACTAGAGAGGCAATGGTTGTAGAGACCATGATAAGTATTTCTGATACATCAAGAGCCCAATCTTGCGCTGGAACACTTTCTAAAAATACATCCGGCAATGGTTTATATATCTTCCTATCAGGTACTTTGTCATGGACTAAAGCCAATACTACAGTCGTCAGAATAAAATTTAGTAATAGTAACAATAATGCTGAAACAAAAAAGATGAGTTTTCATTAAAAACGGATTCAAATTAAGCTTGCCATTCAAGATATTTTTACACACAAAGCTCCAAAGCCACTTGCAGCCAAAACTCAAAGAGGAGCTGTCCCGCTGTCCCTGAGGCCAGGTCCTTACTCAAAACTCTGCGCTTGTTTTGTTTACTCACCAAATTGCCTTGAGGATATAACTCAATTTCATAGTACTAGAGCTTTCTGACAATATCCTCTCCTTCTCACAACCATGTATGTAACTTAACAGTCAAAATCGAATTAACATACCCACGACTGGACGTATTTCTGTCAAACGGAACTAAGCGCCAAATTGAGTTCCTTTTGAAGATTTGAGAATCCCGGATAGCGCGTTCTGTCAAACGGACCTAAGCGCCACGGAAAAGCATTGCTAGTATAAGGAGCGAGCATCGCGTTCCGCAACACCCGCCAATCCAAGCCCCCCCTCTCCTTTCCTCCCCCTATGGCGCTTAGGTCCGTTTGATAGAAATACGTCCAACTAAAGGCCTTCCAATTAAGAGGGGGAAAAGTAGAAAAATGCAACACATTTGTCCCTTGAGAGACTCTAAAGAAGTAGGAGTCAAGCATTAATTATTGACAGATTGTATAAAAAAACTTGTAGAGCTGTGAAACATTGTTTGCCGTAGAGGAAAAATTATTGTAATGCCAACTCACCGATAAACGTTTTCCAAATTTCCTTTGGAAAACGATTTTTCTCGCATGCTGGTTGGGGAATGTCGATGCGAATCGCTCCATTAGGATTGAACGAACTACTTTGATGCTCATCCTCATCTGAGTAAACAGGTTGAGCGTTTATGCTCGTCCCATTTTTATCACTCCAACTGCTGCCTCGGTCCGTTGTTTTTGCATTTGAAAGTAGAGGTTGCCTCTGATAAAGATCATTCTGTCAACATAAAGATTGAAAGGAAGTTAGAAAAAACACGAAGAAAAAACCGCTTGAGACGGGTTAATTTGTCCAAATTTCGTGGTTGACAATTGGATCACATTTTGCAAAAAGGAACCACTATCTCTGGCTCTCCTATAAAAGCACATATCTGCATAGGGAAACCAAAGTCATGTGTGCTGTTTCTAAAATGGGCAAGAAATAGTGGTTCCTTATTGCAAAATGTAATCCAATTTAAGGTAATGTACGTTAGAAAATTACGAAGGAATATATGTAGGTACATCTTTTCTCGAAAATAAATACTTTACTGAAGAAATTTGAAAATGTTTGAATGCCCACGCGGCGTTCTTCCTTAGAACGGTAAAGCAGCCGTTACGTGCATCTAAAACAGTTAAAAATCATCCGTCGCAAGTCAGTGATGCACAATTATCAAAGTCAACACTGGACACTTGGCGATGTATAAGATCCCTCGAGTTGGTCGAGCGAGAACGAATTTTTTACTTTCCTCTTCCATCTTGTATTAAGGTTCCCAAAAAATATTCTTTCTACATATAAGTCCTTTGAACTGAAAAAAAGTGGGCACTTGCATGGCCCTCTCAGAGGAGGAAGCAATTGAACAGCCAGAAAAGATACAGGTATAATGAGTAGAGTGACCGCCACAATACACTTCCTTAAGATATCTGAAGAAGTATTTTCAGACGCTTCTAACACGAGCCCGCACCATTTGGACGTATTTCTGCCAAACGGAACTATGTGTATTATGACGTGGGCCTTGTTACGCATATATTCTTATGGGTCTCAGGGCTCATGTCTCAATGCACAAAGTTCCGTTTGGCAGAAATATGTTCATTTAATCTCGATTAAGCTTAACGATTAACCAATGAACGACGGGGAAAAATCGTTCAATTTAGAGAAACTAAAATTGAACTTGAAAATTGTTCATGGAGTGAAAAACTGACGGGGTCCGCCTTCATTTGAAAGATTAGGCAAAAACACTTCATACAGGTTTAAATAGTTGCCTCCGACTGCAATAAAGAAGAATAGCCATGTTCCAGCACGCTACATACTCATGCGCGACATCGAATCTGATTTTAAATGCACTTCAATATGGTTACCCGTATTCCGTTGGTTACCAAAAAAAGGAGCGTTCCGCTATTTTCGGAACCTGATCATGTCAAAAGTTGAAAAAAGAAATTGATTTTTGTACTAAAATATGCGTGTGCAATTCCCGCCCAGAACATTGATTTTGATTTGTAATCACAAGAAAAATCAGTGAAATTTTCAGTTCGGAATGCTGACCTGTTTTCAGGGGAAAATAGAGTAAAGGGTGTAAATTTCCCAACGTTAAAATGTAGGCATGTTCCTTCGTCTGGAGATCGACGCATTGAAGTGAAAGGGTTAATTTCATGAATTTTGAGCTACACGATGCAACTTTTTCAAGATGCATTTTATCTTCATTTGGTAAGTAACTCGAATTAATCTCAGCTGCGTTAACTCCGAGTTAAAGGGAAATCGTTTCAAGAGATTTTCCTGTTTCTTTTTTGGCTTTTTTCTTCTTCGGCAAGCAAATCGTTAGGGTGTCGGTACGTTGCGCCGCCCGATTTCCCTAGAGTACCTTTATAGACAGAGTATGGCCATTCGTATCTTTTTACTACAGGAAAACTGTTCCGCTTTTTGATTGGTCAACGAGTTTTTAGGCTTCATGATGCTCTTAGGGCCGTAAATAAACAAACAAGATGGCGACTCTCTGTATCATTGATAAGAAGCTAAATTTGAAAAAAATATCAATTATACGGCAGTAACAATTTAAACTAGCATATCTACGAATAACACACGAAAAACACATGAAAACATTGTTAAATCGCCTTTCACCTTTATCACAGGAGGATGTAAGATGTGCATAACCTCAAACTTCCTTGCTGATAACAGCCATCTTGTTTGTTTATTTACGGCCCTAAGAGCATCGTGTCAGCCTATTCGCTCGCGACCAATGAAAAACCGGAACAGAAATGGCCATACTCTGTCTATAAAGGTACTCTAGATTTCCCTGTTAAATGTGAGCTATCTCATTGGTGGGTAACCAACTGAAGCCGGTGATGAAAATTTTTTTCGTCGGATAAGGGATCTTAGCTATTTTGGTGGGTCCCCGCTTACGGAGCAGTGTCCTATGGGAACTCATGATAGTATTTCATTGATTCCTAGGAGGAATTTTTATTGCAATCAAGGGTGAAGTACTATTTCTCTGGTGAAGATCTATCTGTTTCACTTTACATGACTTAAAAAGTAAATAAATAAAAACTTAATGATAAATTACATAAATGATACTACCCACTTTATTGGTTAATTTATAGCTAAATGAGAAAAAGATGAAAGAGAAAATGCAGAGAGCAGTGTTAGTTATGGATATTTTAGATGGCAATTCTGGACTTATAAGGACTTTTTCAGAAGACAGGTGAACCAAGTAAAATAAAACCACGAACTAGATGATCTAACAGTCAAAATCTGGCGATTTCAGGGTTGCAAGTTTCGTCAAATTTCCAAGTTCCATGACTTTTCCTGGCTGCAACAAATCGAATTATTTTTTACGCGACGTTTACCATCCGACTTGTCCTTTCTAAGATTCCGGGACATTTCATCGTATAGTGAAAAAAGGAAGAGCAGAGATATTCATGCTTACCGCAAATGTCAATACCGGGATGTAATTCCCATTCCATCGCGTTGTTTCCGATCAAAATATTTCCTAGCTTACCGATTTATAGTAATCCCTTTAAAATTGTATGTTCTCTATATCCCTTGCAACCCTGGACTTGATAAGAACCGTTTTTGGAGAGACGTCACAGTGGGATTCTCGATTATATGACAGGTATCGATTATATCGATATCATCGCGAAAAATGCGGGAATGCATGGATGTCTATCGAATAATCGAGACCAACCGGTGACGTGGGGTTGAAACGGTCTGTGACACGTTGGCAACACTCTTTTTCCTCCATTTGAGCACTGGTAAAAATTGGCGATAAGAGCTGCGTTCCAAAATACCATAGGAATTCTTATAGCCGGCTAAAGAAGGCTACAGAAAATCATATAGCTGGCTGTAGAATGCGAAGAAAATCATACGGCCGGGCTATACGAAGCGATAAAAAATTATGCAGCCGGGATATAGTTCCTATCGCCGGGCTCAACACTTTATCACCTGGCTGTTGCTTTTTCGCCATCGATTATAAAAGGCTATAAGAAATTGTGTAGAAATTCGTGTGCTTTGGAAAGCATTAAGTTAGATACGGAACCACCTTAATATTTACAAAATACACATTATATTTTCCTTTAATACATACTTTTTTTCATCAATTAAAATGAGAAATGTGCAAACATTTCAAAATCATGAGTTGAATAACGCTGACTCCGCGAGATGAAATATTAGAGCCTAACACAAAGCGGAGCGGCGACGCACTGGCGCCTACAAACCTAACAGGGATACTTCACGCATTGCGCAACGCGTGAAGTATCCGTGTTAGGTTTGTAGGCGCCGTTGTTTCGCGCTGGCTGCCCGCCTGCCACGGCGCTTGAAGCAACTATTTCACACCAGAGGTATTGCACAGTATCATACGAAACTGAAGGCGCTCTAATATATTAGGAATGGCAGGCATCCATCAAAAGTACGGAGCTTTCCTCGCAAAATAAATCAAGATACTACGGCCCAAAAAGAGAGCAGTAAACCAAAAACTCACTAAGTCCTAGCATCCGTAATTAGTAACGTTTAGCATACATTTTATCGTCTGGCTGTTGCTTACTCGCCATCGGCTATAAAAGGCTATAAGAAATTGTGTAGCCGGCTATAGAAGCTATTGGAAATCTTACAGCCGGCTGTAGGTCTATGGTATTTTGGAACACAGATTCTACTGCCAATTTTTACCAGGGAGTGCATGTGAAACAATTGAATCTTGGTGAGGCAGTTTGCCTCGATTGAAATCGATATATTCAATGGAGTTAAACGGAGGATAAACAACGTTGCCAACTTGCAAAATCGCCACTGCGCTGATCCAAAGAAAAGAGATGAAGAGGAATAAACCGGCCGACAAAAAATCCATCTTCAACTTACCATAATAATTTGAGGCATCCGGGACCTTAAAACACTAATTGTAAGTTAACGAATCGCATACCTGGAATATCAAGATATATATATTCATTTGTATTCATTACAGTATTGAAGTTCAACATGAGGCCTAAACTAAATAATTTCAACTACCACCACCGACTAAGCCAGTGCATTATTTTTATTCCAGGGTTGCCACAGAATTCGGAAAATTAAATTCCCTGTCATTTCTCTGATTTCCCTGACACATTTCGGTGTGATTTCCTGACAACTGAACAAATGCCAGATTAATCAAAAGACATAGTTAGAGATAGTTTTTACGCAAAATTCGTTGTTCGAAACGTCTAACCCACCCGAGAAAGCAAATGAAAGTGATTTTGAAGATTTTTCCCCGGCATTTTCGTTATTTTTCCTGACTTTCAAAAATTCCCTGACATTTCCCGGTTTTCCCTGAATGGGGAAACCTTGTCAAATGATACTGATTGTCGAATTCGTTTAAAGTGGAGACCCCGTGAAAGGAGAAAAAACCCAGCTGACGGGAACCCTGCAGTGGCGTGGCGAGATTTACGATATATCGATTGTTATGCCATTTAAACCTATAGAAAAGGATCGATAAATAGGGTGTTCGCAGCGAACACCTTAATAATCGATTCTTCACCATAGGTTTAAATGGCATAACAATCGATATATCGCAATTCACGCCACGCCAGTGCCCTGCACCGCGGTGAAAGGGAAACCATACCATGGCATGTTGTGCGTGCTCATACAGCGACAGACGGATAAGTTTCGTGTAACCGATTTTGTGGGATTCAATCCCTCTCCTGAGAAAAGCACGTTACGTAAGAGGAGACAGAAATCACATTTTTATTGAAATTGATCAAGCTAACGTCATGGGATATCTTTAATTT